TGTGGTCACCTCCGGGGCAGGCGGGAATCGAACTCATGCGGAAGTGGCTTTAGATTCTCAATGCTGTGCTTTAACCCGCTGCGCCACCAGGGAGGGCCTGGCCCTTTTTTTTTTTAACAATCAAATGTAAAGAAAACATTGATCTCATTTATTATTGTAATCACTTTGGTGAACTGAGTGAGACATGGATTTTACTGTTTTTCAATAGTACTCCCATTTTCCCCAAAGAAACAGAAAAATACCTGTCATCTACAGCCAATCATGTTACCTTTATTATAATGAGGTTTTTACTTACCAAGCTTTTTAATTTTCTTCATATGCTTCTACTGTAAAGCAGATAAAAACTCCTTATCTTAAGATGACACTTAGGACTTACTGCAACTTGGTTTGTTTTGTCACAACGTAACTATAATTACCAGATTATTTTTGTTTACCTCATTGTGCCATTGTCTTTATTGTGAGCATGAGTTAGGCAAATTAACAGGTGTAATCTAAGTGAAAAGATACATAAGTCATCCAGTCCAACCAAACTTTGTTAACCTTTGAGAATGTCAGTATTTGCCAGCTCTGGTTTATGCCTAGTAATCAGGAAAAGATTCTTATGCAAGCAGACAAAATGTCTAGCTATGATTCCAAAGGACTTATAGGAAAAGAACAAAATGAACTTGCCTTTGCTGATGCAAGAAGATGTATTTGTCTGCCCCTGCCTTTTCAGATGAAGAGAAAGAAATGGTACTTCCTTGGTGTCTTACCTACTGGTGGCATTTTGATTGCTTTGTATCATATATCTGGAGATTGTTTACTTTTTCCAATTTTGAGAACAGTATATGTATATCCACACAGAGAGCTATTGTTTTCTATAAAAATGTTAAATAGTGTCTGAGTGTTGGAGATTTTAGACTGTGGGAAAGATCGAATTACCAGGGCCTTGATCATGTCGGCAAATTCTCAAGTCCTTTTCTGTTTGTTCAAAAGCTTTAGATGGGTGTTAAAAGAGTAGAGGATTATCTCCAATAAAATTTTGTTTGCTTCATGGTCCTGGTTAACCAAAACTTCTCTGTACTATAATGGGAGTAGAGGAATATTCTTGCCTATGTTGGGTGCAAAAAAATACACAGGCAACCCATGTAAAAGGTTATTTGTCAAGTATACACTAATAAAACATGCTCATTATTGATCACGATGCCGGGTGAACACAGAGAGGGGAGTGTTAAGCCCCCATAATGTCTGTGGGTTCCTCCAAAGTGACCCTGAATAAATATGGAATCAAGAAAATAAAACCTGCTTCCTATGAAAATGCTTTGAGACTAGGCAGCCCCTCCCCTGCCAGTGACACACTCCCCTGCCCCTCCATTCACTCCTCACCCCCTCCCACAGTGAAATTCTGGAGAGCACCTTGTCCTTATTAGGTGCTACTCATTAACTGCCTTCAGAGACCTGCAACTTGTTATAATTACTCTGAGAATCTTCTAGTCAGAATAAGAATGTTCAATGTCTAATATTTCTTCTGAGGTCTGTATCAGTTTTAGTTTCTGTACCAACTGCAAGTGATGTTGACTCCCAAGCGAACTGCAGTTTCTGCTTGGATTTAGGGCAAATCATTTTTCCTTTTGTTGTTCTCTTTTTTAAGTAATCTGTTTACATGGTGGAAAAGTCAAAATGCTTTGTTCCCATTCATCTCTCCAGAATCAGTGACTGTTATTAATGTCTTATATATACTTCTATCTTATACATGTACAAGACTACAGGTAACATATATATGGCTACTATGCATTTTTGTTTTCACTCTACACTATATCCTGATGATTAGCTCTACCACATTTTAAAAAATTTGAATAGAATTCCATCAAATAGATATATGCCATTTTAATTATATTATGATTAATAGGTTACTAGGTAATTTTCTATCTTTTGTGCAGACTTTTTGCACTGACTGTATTTTTCCTGTGTTCCTGGTCACCTAAGAGAACTGTAGTATCTCATTCCTCAGTGATCATGACCTGAAATAAAATGAAATGAACTCCCTTCTGGAAGCTATAATATTAAAATAGCAGTTATAATTTATTGAGGACTTGCTATATTCCAGAAACTGTACTAAGTGCCTCACATGAACTAATATTATTATACTCACTTAAAAATAGCGCTTGGTATTTTCTTACATTTTACCAAACTGAAACTCATGATTAAGTAACAATCAAAATCAAGTAACTAGTAATGGGATTCACATGCATCTTTACCCACTGGGCTCTTAACCACTAGGCTGTTCTGATTTCCAGTTATTTTTTCAAAAAAGATTTATTTATTTATGCATACAGAACTGGGGTATAGGCCAGAGGTGCAGGGGCAGTGAGAGGATTCACCAGAGACAGAGTGGGGAGCAGAAGAGGCCGACTGATGAAGTACACTGTTGAGGGGAGCAGCAGGCGGGTTAGGAGAGGTCTGCTGTGCCTTGTGGGTGACATCATCTCCCAGGCAAGGGATCAAACTGTGCTGAAGGGGCTGCAGCTAGCTTTGCAGTGTTGTGCTTTATCCCCAGTGTTGCACCCCCAGAGAGGGCCCTGATTTCCAATTTTTAAGTGAGACCCTGGAAAATCTGGCAGCTATTAAAAAAGAGATCATCAGGCCCTCCCTGATGGCATAATGGTTTAAAGCACAGCACTATGAAGTGATCACAGCCACTGTAGCATGAGTTCGATCCCCGGCAAGGGAAGTGACCCACATGCCACAGCAGACCTCTCCTGACCCACCCGCTGCTCCCCTCAGCAGTGTATTTCAGTCCACCTGCCTGTTCTACTCCCCACTGTCTCTGATGTATCCTCTCATTCCCCACACCTCTGGCCTGTACCCCAGTTCTGTATGCATAGATAAATCTTTTTTTTTTTTTAAGTGATCATCATGGTGCAAAATCTTGAAACCAAAGCCATATATAGAATAAAGTGATACAGGCTACTTAGCCTTTGAAAGGGTGTATTAAGATGACTCATGGTAACCTGTCTTCATATATTGAAAGGACTGCCACATAAAAGTGCAAACTTACTTACTTTTTGTGGTTCCAAAGGGTAGAGCTGTACCCAGCAGGTAGAACTTATAAGGAGTGAGTCAGATGATGGTCCTTTCTAACAGAACCAAAGAAAGGGCTAGACTGTTTCATGAGAAATTTAAAAAAATAACCCCTTGTCTTGGTTCTCCCCCTAACCCACTGACCCCACCCCACCCTCAAAAAAATGAATAAAAATAAAAACTAACCACTTGTCAGGGATATAGCTAAGGACCTTTATTGCCTTGGATGGGAAGTTGAATTACACTGTGGTTCTTAATTTCTCTGTATATCAGTATAACCTGGGGCACATTCCCAGGACCCAGCCCAAACCCATTGACCAGAATCTCCTGGTAATAGACACAGTTATTGATTGGATTAACAGAAGTGAGTCTGTTAAGAAAAATTCCTAAAGAAAAATTCACTAAAGAAGTGCCAGTGGTCAGTTAACATATGAAAAGTGATTTAGCCTTAAGAATAAATGTTGGTTAAAGCAGCAGTGAGATTCTGCTGATCCTATTGTATTTCATAGCCTGGTCTTGTGCCCTTGTGCCCTAGAGGCCTTATCTAAATCTCCAAATCTCCCAAAGTTTTGGAATGTGGAGGGCAGTTCTTGTGCCATCACAGTCACCATTTCTGCTAATTTGAGTATACATACATATCTGGCATGCATGTTTGTAGTTGAGAAAAGCAGTAAATGAAATTATGTGGACTACCGCTGGTCTGCTTTACTTGTATATTTACAAATAAATCAATCTCTCAAGTCTTAAAATTGACTTAGTAGGTCAAGATCACATTATTTTATTTGCAGCGTTAGTCACAGCCAAAAATGTTTCTTTTTTGTAAAATTACTTATTTATGCATACATAACTGGGGTACAGGCCAGAGGTGCAGGGGCGGTGTGAGGATTCACCAAACACAGAGTGGGGAGTAGAGTAGGCAGATCGATGAAGTACACTGCTGAGGGAGCATTGGGGCAGGTCAGGAGAGGTCTGCCGCACCATATGGGTCACCTCTCGGGCCAGGGATCGAACTCACACTTAAGTGGCTGTGTCTAGCTTGTAGTGCTGCATCCTAACCTGTTTTGCCGCCAGGAAGGGCCCAAAAATGTTTCTTAAAAATTACTTTTCCCCTCTTCTGGCTACCCATTCTTTCAGCTAATGTGTACTGACCATCTGCCATGTGCCAGGCACAGGGATCAGGCGGTGAACAAGACACTGCTCTCCCGAAAGGCAGCCCTCATTAGCATTAAAGAACAGAGCTAATAGCATCTACTTTCTAGGTCAAATACTATGAAAAAAGTTGCCTTTTACTTTGTGTTAGTTATGTTTGGGGGATGTGATTTGACTGTATCGTATATAACTCCAAATACCAACAAAGTCTTGTGTTCATTTTGATAAATAAGTATCATTTACTTATTTGGTAATAAGTATAAATAGACTCCTGCATTCCTAAATTGTCATTACTAGCCTGCTTGTAATCTTTAAACTAATGAATGGTGCCAGCTGTATTAGTAATAGATACATATCATATGCCCATTAGACTTCTGATCATTATTTTTCAGAACCAACAAGCCAAAATAGCACAATTGTACCTCCCGTTTGTTGGACTGCTTTTGGAAAATATACAGCGATTGGCAGGTCGAGATACCTTGTATTCTTGTGCAGCCATGCCTAATTCTGTGAGTAGCTGTGTGTTCCTGTTGGTGTTTTACCCTTTTGTGCTGAATGTATCTACAATCAGGGTCATATGCGGTATGGTCTCAATTTTTTTTTTTTTGCCTCAGTCTTTTAATAGTTCACTTTTGACTCCCATTTTACCTTTTCCTCGAGCAGTGCTGCTGAAGCTTTCATGTGCATTGGAGTCACCTGGGGAGTTTGTTAGATTCTAATTCATTAGCTCTGGGGTGGAGTTTGAGATCACACATTTCTAACACATTTTTGGCCGCTTCTGATCCAAGGACCACTGTGTGAGTGATGCGGTCCAGGAGAACACCAAGGATCCCTTGTAACCAGTGTTTGATTTTAGGATTTGTTGCTGCTGTATGCCTGCATGTATTTACTGAACTTGAAAACTGAATAAAAGAGTCTTTACTTCCAAAATGTTAGGCACCAGGGATGTAATGTTTTCCTTTGCTTATCCTCTCCCTCCACAGCTTCCTTTCAACATTTCTTCAGGGAGTCATTTTTAGCTCATCCTGGTTGCTCTGTGTTTTTCTTCCCGCCTTAGAGTTGAAAGGAAATTTGAAGGTGATCAGTGTCCAGTTGCAGAATACCCTTTGGCCATTGTGATAATTGAAATATTCCTTCTCCCATTGACGTAAAAGGTTTGCTCTCCACTTTTTCTAGATTTGCCTTCCAGAGACCCATAGAACAAATAGGTTCCCACCTCACATGATACCCTTTCCACACATGCCTCCAAAAGTTTTCTCCAGACCAGATAACTTCACTTCATTATCCTCTGTCATTCTAAATCATTGATGTTCTTGGTTACGCTCTTATGGGTGTGTTCCATTTTACCAGCAGTCCTACTAAAGCGTGGTGCTCAGAACCAGACATTTTCCAGTTTGCCTTCTGTGTGGCCCAAGACACCTTCACACTTCACACTTTTGGTGGCCACCCACATCACATTGTTTGTGGCATGTTACACTGTCCTTCACAGCTTCCTTTGGAAATTACCCCCGTCAGTTTATCCAGCTTGCCCTGGATAACCAAGAAAACTGCTTTTCAACCTCCCTGATGAATTGATTGCCTGTAGCACCCAATTATGTAAGTCAGCTAAATGTAGGTACCACCCCATGCATCATCCTGTGGGCTGGTCTTTCTTCATAAACAGAAGCTCACGCTTACACACTTAGACCACAGCAAATGGCTGCGGTATTTGGAAATAATTCTATTTACGTTCTTTTGCAGAAGAAGTTCAACTAGGGCTTCTGGTCGCAGCCCTACTTTTCTAACATCACCCTAGTTCCAAAGAGAATTGGGCCTAAGACTACATCTGATGCCACTTTTACTAGTCACCTAGAATTATGTCACTTGATCAGAAAACATGGGGACCACAGTATACTGCTACTTGTTATTTTTTTTTTTTTAAAAAGAGAAGTCACCATAAAGCCATACTGACATTATGTCAAGCTTGCACCATAAGGTTTACTTAAAATTAGGGTGTGATCTCACATGGCTAATTCCATTTTTTTTTCCTTTTAAAGAGTTATTTATTCTATGCATACAGAATTGGGATATAGGCCAGAGGTGCAGGGGCAGTGAGAGGATTCACCAGAGACAGAGTGGGGAGCACTCAATGAAGTACACAGTTCAATGAAGTACACTGCTGAGGGGAGCAGTAGGCAAGACAGGAGAGGCCTGTTGTGCCATGTGGATCACCTCCGGGGCCAGGGATTAAACTCACACTGAAACAGCTGTGGCTAGCTTGCAGTACTGTGCTCCAACCTGTAGTGTCACCAGAGAGGGCCTAATCCAATTTCTTATCCTAGTGTACAGTTTTATTTAAATGACTGCGGTGTCTTGTGTTCCAGGCATCCAGGGATGAGTTCGCATGTGGATTTACTTCACCTACAAATAGAGGGAGTCTGAGCAGTGACAAAGACACCGGTAATTAGCTCTTTAAAGATTATAGGCAGGTTGTTCAGAAATGTAATTTGTATTTCTGAAGTATTTCATAATAAAAACTATACATAGCATGCTTTCTACTAAAGTTTAATTAAAACCTGATGCACATGTATAGCCACATTTCTTTGCTGAGGTTTCTTGTCTAAGCTTGTTTAAAATATAGCTTGGTGTGCTAAGAAAGTAGAGGATAATGAGCTTAACACTTCCAGTCCTTTTACCTGTTTCCATTCTTGGACAAGACACCTCCTTCTTCTGAACCCAAGTTTCCTTATCTACAAAATTCTCAAGTTGTGTAGCTTTGTGACTTCAAAGAAAATCTTGTAGTTTCATACACAGTACTGTGTAAGAAGCCAAAAAATAAATACATAAACTTGGTATAATACATAAACTTCACATTTTGGATGACTGACATCTTTTCCCTAAAATGTTTATTTAAATTATCCCAATACTTACTTTTTAGTGTTTTTGTCAGTTCTTCCTATTCCTAACAAGGACTTGGCTTATTTTCCAGCTTATGGGACTTTTCAAAATGGACATGGAATTAAGAGAGAAGATTCCAGAGGTTCTCTTATCCCGGAAGGAGCAACAGGATTTCCAGACCAGGGCAGCACGGGTGAACATGTAAGATCCTGAATATAATATAGGATAGCCATAGTGACATTTTGGCCATAATAACAGTCTTCTTTTGATGTAAGAAATAGCCTCTCTATATTCCTGTAGTCCACCTTGGATCAAAAAAAAAAAAAAGCATCCCATAATTCTTGGATGTTATAGCAGTTCCTTTCTGTCTCCGCAACTGCTAGTTGAATAAACTGTTTATATGGAGTTAAGGCATTCATCTTTAAGGGTTCTAGTTGGTTGTCCTTTAATCCTAGCATGCGATGACCTATTGTAGGGAACGAAGGGTCAAGTTTAAAATACCGAATCTGCCTTATCATTTAAATCACTGCCTGGTAAGACGAGGTCAACCTTTCATTCTTCTGTAATACAGTAATGACATTAACTTGGAAGAAAACAAATTAAGCCCTCAAATTAATAATCTCACAATGCCAGCATCACTTCATCAGAATATATTCTCCCACACTTGCATCAAATTGTTTGAAATGTAACACAGAAGTTTGGATTTTGTCTTCTTTGAGGCAGAGAAGCCTCATTTTAGACCAGTAAAGTCATGTCATTATTGAAATCACAGCATCATATAAAAACAGTTAAAAGGATCCCTAACAATAATAAATTCCAATTTGCTGGTGAAAATTGGGACTGGAACGTAGGCCAGCCCCTTGCCATGGCAGGCCAGAACACCTGACCCCAGGTTTTCTAACTCCAGCACTTTTCCTCCTTTATCATGGCGCTCTTAGGGTGCATCAGAATTACTTGAGGGACTTCATAAAAATAGGTGACTAGGTCTTGTCCCAAGTTTCTGACTTAGTCATTCTAGAATGGGGGCTGCTAATTTGTATTTCTAAGTTCTCAGGTGATGCGCATGCTGCTGGTTGAGAACTACTGCTTAAGAATCACCCTTTGAGCCTTTAGAGTTTTTGTTTTTTTTTTTTTAACCCCAGTTAGAATTATGACAGTAGACATTGTTGTAGGTGAGGCAAAGAAAGGACCATTCACCAGGTTAAATGGCTTGTGAATAGTCACAAAGCTAGTAGGCATTCAGATTCTAGATGTTTTGTTCTAAGTGAAAGTTCTTAGTAAATCTCACTTTAGTAAATACAGTTAGCTCAACTGAAAGTGTGTGTGTGTGTGCCATCACCATAGTCCTGTGCAATTCCCCCCCACACACACCCTCATTTTGTTTCCATTCTCCACTCCACCCCTGTAAAATGTCTCTGGTATATTCATTGTTATTTCCCCCCACCCCAAATCTTGGTCCTTTATGTTCCTGCTATGAGTGAAACCATCTGGTAGTTTTCTTTTTGAAAGTATTCTATTCATTTATTTATTCATACAGAACTGGGGTACAGGGGCAGTGAGAAGATTCACCAGAGATAGAGAGGGGAGCAGAACAGGTAGATTGGCAAAGTACACTGTTGAAGGACGCAGCGGGTTAGGAGAGGTCTGCTGCGCCATGTGGGTCACCTCCAGGGCAGGGATCAAACTCATGCTGAAGTGGCTTTAGCTTCTTAGTGCTGTGCTTTAACCTGCTGTGCCACCAGAGAGGACCCTGAAAGTGTTTTTTTTTTTTTTTTATGCTTACAGAATGGGTTACAGGCTAGAGGTATGGTAGGTGAGAGGATTCACCAGAGACAGAGTGGGGAGCAGAACAGGCAAATTGACAAAGTACAATGCTAAGGGGAGCAGCGGGCGGGTCAGGAGAGGTCTGCCACACCATGTGGATCAGCTCCCTGGCCGGGGATCAAACTCATGCTGAAGTGGCTTTGGAGAACTTCATAATGCGGTGCCTTAACACACTGAACCACCAGGGAGGGCCCTGAAAGTATTCATTTTTAACAAGGGTAAAATTTTTAGGAAATGAGTTTTACTTTGTCATGTAAATCCCAAATAAGTCCAAACTTGTCATGCTTAAGGAATCGATATTTTAACAAAAGTTGTTACGTAAAAAGAACGACAAGGGCCTCCCTGGTGGTGTAGGAGTTAAGGCCCAGTGCTGTAACCCCTGTGGCCTGAACCTGATCCCCAAGTGTGATCCCCAGCTAGACCTCCCCTGTGTTGCCCACTGCTCCCCTTAACAGGCACCTCTAGCCTACACCCCAGCTCTGTACATAAATAAATCAAACTTAAATGAAAAGAATGTAGCTACTTTGTAGAGGCTCTAGTTTTGAAGTATTACAGGATTCTCAGAAGAATGATTTTGTATCATTAGCCCCAATTTTTAGATCTATTCTCTGATGATTTTAAAAGTTGTACTTTTACAAACTCTAAGGATAGAGGCAAACAAAAAGGTTTAAATGTTTCTTACGCTTCTGCACACCGTAGTTTAGTTCTTCCTCCATGTAAATCTATTTTTTCCAGGAATAGCCACATATGATTTCTTTAAACTTTTTAGTACTAAAACACAGGACCTTTGGAAATGACACAGTTACAGTATTCATAGTTATATCTTGTTCAAAACCACAATTCCCAGCATAATTAGATATAATAGTAAAAAGGATTCCTCCCACTTAGCTTCCAACTGTGATGAAATTTTACATTTATGCTTAGGAATTTTCCCAAACAGGACTAATGATAAAAAGTGATTAAGGTAAACTATAGTACCTACTTAATTTTACAAATGATCTCTCTCTACATTACAGACCCGACAGAGCTCTACAAGAAGCAGTATATCCCAGTATAACCGATTGGATCAGTATGAAATCAGAAGCCTCTTGATGTGCTACCTGTATATAGTAAAAATGATTTCTGAAGGTGAGTTACTAGCATCGTAGGCAAGGACTCTACTGTGCACCCTTGCAGATGCTCAGGCTCAGGCCACAAGGACTTGACCATCATCTGTATGTAGAACCATGCAGCTTAGAAATCGACATCTGGCTTTGAAGTGTTTCTGTATTTTAACTTAAAATAGGTTCATTTCAGTCATCCAGGTTTCATTCTTTGAAATAATCTTTTAAAACATTTTGTAAGTTAATTTCTAAAATGAGATCACAGTTTTTAAAAGTGTTAAACCTTTTGTTTTTCATGCTGAGCTTGAAATATATTCAGCGACCATGTAAACAGAGAAATAACAGTGCCAGTATTTAATACAGAGCTTTTATTGACCCAGGATTTAGAAAAGCAGAAGCAAACAAAAAGACCAGACGTATCCCCAGGGTAAGGAATGCTGTGGTGATGTCTGCAGTGCCACTGTATCACATTACATGGTGTTAGGTTCTCTTTCAGGTTGCTTTACAATTGTATTATTTACTAGTGTTACAAATTCTTCTTTTAATTATATGACAGAATATAACCAAAGGAGTTTCATAAATAGCATGTCCTCTAAAAGTAAAATCAAAAGGTCATTTATACACAAATACCACCCTTCTTTATACAATTCGTCCTTTTTCTTCCTTTCCTTAAAAAAAAAAAATGTATGCTGCAATATAGTACATAAAAGCATCTGGGTTCTGATCATCATGTTTCTCATTTTTCTATTTTTTTGTGTAATTTTTAGTAAATATATTTTTTAAAAGATTTATTTATTTATTCATACAGAACTGGGTACAGGCCAGAGATGCGGAGGGTGAGAGGATTCACCAGAGACAGAGTGGGGAGCAGAACAGGCAGATCATCGAAGTACACTGCTGAGGGGAGCAGCGGGCGGGTCAGGAGAGGTCTGCTGCTCCTTGTAGTCACCTCCAGGGCAGGCGGGGATCGAACTCATGCCGAAGTGGCTTCAGCTTCTTAGTGCAGTGCTTTAACCCGCTGCGCCACCAGGGAGGGCCAATTTTTAGTAAATATTACTTTATAACTTCTTTTGTGCTAATAAAGGCTACAGGAACAAATTAAGCTTACACTTACAAAATCAATTAATAGTTATAGATGAGTAAATAGTTCTAAAGTACATCAACACTTTATATCTTATGCTAACACAGGCTATAGGAACAAAATAAGCTTACACTTAACTAGCTAGAGAAACAGAAGCAATTAAATGGTTATATGTGAATAAGTAATTCTAAAATACACCAGCAATGTATCTTATATCTTATACAGGCAGTAGGAACAAAATAAGCTTACACTTAGCTAGAGAAACAGAAGCAATTAAATAGTTATATGTGAGTAAGTAGTTCTAAAGTACATCAACAATGTATCTTATATCTTACCCTAATACAAGCTATAGGAACAAAACAAGTTTACACTTAACTAGGTAACAAAATCAATTAATAGTTACATATGAGTAAGTTGTTCTAAAGTACATCAACACTTTATATCTTTTTAAAATTTATGTATTTCAACACTATATCTTATGCTAATATAGGCTATAGGGACAAAATAAGCTTACATTTAATTAGAAAAACAAAATCAATAGTTACATACGAGTAAGTCGTTCTAAAGTACATCAACACTATATATATATATTTTAAATATTTATTTATTTCAACACTATATCTTACACTAATACTGGCTATAGGAACAAAATACGCTTATACTTAACTAGCTAGAGAAGTAAAATCAATTAAATAGTTATATGTGAGTAAGTAGTTCTAAAATACATCAACACTTTATATCTTACACTAATACAGGCTACAGGAAAAAAAAATAAGCTTACACTTAACTAGCTAGAGAAACAAAATTAGTAGTTATATGTGAATAAGTAGTTCTAAAGTACATCAATACATTATGTCTTATGCTAATATAAGAATAATTAATTAGCTAGAGAAACATTAAAATAAATCAATAGCTATACTGTTCTAAAGTACATTAATAAATAAATGTTCTAAAGTACATTAATAAAACAGTTGAAAAACAATTAGAACTTTTAAGTTCTAAGACTATAAGATTTAAAATAAAAGTTAAAGATTATATTAAAGCTAATGTGATAGGCCTCACTTCTGTATTTTGGGAAGAAAAGTTAGTAAAGGGAGATAATTTTCAAGCCATAGTGGTATTTCCTTCCAGGAAAAAATGGTGCATTTAACAACTCAGCTCACTAATTTTGTTTTTCAACAAGGTAAAAAGCGGGGGACTGTAGAAAGTAACTGCTAATGTGTCTGGGGTTTCATTTTAGGGTGATGAAAGTATTCTAAAATTGTAGGGGTGATTCTAGAAGCCATTAAATATATTGCAAACTATTGTGCATCATTTAAATAGGTTGAGTTTTTATAGTATATGAACTCTCAATAAATTTGTTTAAAAAAAAGAGGCCCACCACACTGAAAAAAAAAAAAACTGAATGGAAATAAGATGGGGGGGGTGCAGAGGAGTAGAAGAAAAGAAGGGGAGATGTTTTGCTGACTGGTTTTCCACTCTTCCACTCCAGCACACATGCACGCACACACAAATACTCTCACGCTTGCACACAATCTACTTTATATATACTGTGGTAACCAGCAACAGACAGGTCTCTGACTCCTTTTTTAATGTTGTAGGTTAAAACCATGACTGCTTTGTTTCTTGAGAACTTCCGTAGTTTGTCTTCCTCTTGTAAATGTTGACTTCACTTGCTAAATATTTGTCTTGCTCTTGCTCTTGCTTTTTTGATTTTTAAAAGCATTTAAAGTCATTCTGTATGATACCTTCAAAGTCACAGTCTATAAAGTCATGTTCATTTTATTCTGAAAAATAATGGCTTTTGGGTCATTGTCAATGGCTGTCTTGTCTGGTGAATATTTTAGACACTATGTTTTTAAGTAGTGAATGTGTTTAAATACTGAGTCTATACCTTGTAAGTCTTCTCTTGTTCTCTTTTTCATGGATAGCAGCTTAATTTCAACAGGATGGTAGATTTTTACACTTTAATACGGAAGTGGAAATATTCTGAAGATTGGGTTTCCTTCTCTATTTGTAGCTGTATTTTATTAATATGGCAGTCATTTGCTGTTTCAGATTCACAGTCATTTGTCAAGCAGTTTTTGGTTTTATTGCCTTGTTTACTGTATCTTGAGAAATGGAATAGGAGTCAGGCATTAGTAGTTATAGTCTAAGTTGACAGGAAGACTGTCCTCTTGTTAAAAGAAAAAAAAAGCCTTTTCCTTGGGAGGAAAGCTACTTCCCCCTTTTTTCTATCTGCACCCTGGCCTTTCTCTTTAGTGTAGACCCCAAAGTGCAACTCTGGGTTTCACCCTGAGGCTTAGTATATACCTCACTTGAAGATTCATTAGTATTCTTCCTCAAAGTTGTTTGCTCTTTGGAAGGTGGCTGTGGCTGGCTACTATCATCTCTCATTGAAAACCCAGTGCTGGGACGAGCAAGATTAATTAATGATCTTCTTTTCCCACTAGATCTTAAAGTATAGTCGAGTGGAAATACATTTAAAGAGGTTCTTTCCCTTCTCCGTGTAAAAGGGGGAAACAAGCCTCTGTTATAATCGGGCATAGTTTCCTCAGATGTTTCAGATGCTACTTGAGTAGCTGGGGTTTCCCCAGTAGAAACACTAGAAAGATTCCAAGAGAATTCAGATTGAGTGTCAGACTTTTGCATGGAGGGGTTTTGTGTGGAGCTCGGTTTCCTTGTTAGTTTGTCTTCAGGAAGACTTGAGGCTCCCTGAAAACCAAATCCCCTTTGAGAACTAAATGTAGATGATAAAGGAAAATTGGTAGTTAATTTCTGGTTACCGCCACCCCCTCTGGTCGGTTTACTGGTATGGAGAGTTTTCTCAAAAGAAGTCTCTGGTATATCAAAGACATTCTGACTACATAGTGGAATTGGAAAGCTTGAACTTTGTGGGGGCTCCTTTTTGCCTCCAGATTTCATTTGTTCAGTGTGTGGTTGCTTGATCAGTTTGCTAGGCAAATGCATCGGAGTTCCCTGTCTGGGGTCCCGGAGCAAATAATCGGGCATTGTTCGAGTAGTAGGAACAGAGTCCTCATCGGTATCAGTAAGAGACTTGCGAAGCTGTTTTTGATTCAATTTTAGTTTTTCAGAAAGCCTTTTATTTTCCTCTCTTAGTTTATTTCTTTCTGCAGTAAGCTCAGCAATAAACTGAAGATTTTGTTGTTGGATTTCGTAAAATTCTTGCTGCAGTGTATTTCTGTATGTTTCATTCATTGAACAGCGGTCACATATTTTTGTACTTAACTGATCTCGCAAGTCATGAATGGTGCCACTGAGGACTTTCTGTTGTTCTGTCAACTCTTTAATTTTGGCTATGGAGCCCGTCCACCTTCCATCTGCCAATCGCTCTTTTCTCAGGCTGGTTAACTTTGCCTGCAAGCGCTGTAGCTCTTTGTCATGGAGCTCTTTAAGTGTTAGCCAGGTCTTTTTAAACTCATTAGAGGACAAATCACAACTACTAAGCTGCAGTTTCTCTTTATCTGAGGGTTTCTTGCCACCTCCCATGCCTCCTCCACTGCCTCCACTGCCGCCTCCACCCTCGCTCCCGGACTGCATCATGTCTATCTGATAGAGAAGCGGTTGGGATAAGCCGCGAGTTGGACAGTGCCCTCCACAAGATGGCGGACGGGCTGCTGACTAGAACTTGACCGCGGTAGGGATGGGCACCTTACCGCCTCTACAGATCTCCTCAGAAGCTGTCTCAGGGCACAGGGAGGGCACGATTGTTCAGAGATGGGTGGAAGGGCGTGGCTTTTTTTGGTGGAGAGAAGGCGCCGAATTTTTGACGGAAAAACAGGATCGGAGAAGGAGGACCAAGGCTTCTGGCAACGGTCCTTCGACGAGAGGCCGGAAACCCAGTGACTTCTGGGGTAGCCCCAACCACCGAGCAGAAAGTACCCAGACGCAGGGGGGGGGGGTAACTGGAAGTCACTGATAGACCTATATTTGAAAAACAAATCAAATTTTACTTTAATTTGGCAATTTTTACCTTGATCAATATTTTGTAATCAGAGAAATTCTCAATACGCTTGGTTTTAAAGAAGATTGAAAGTAGTTAAGTCAAAAGCCACCTACGTAACGCGTTAGTTCACCCCTGCGAGTAACCAACACTGTCCAGGCGTCCATCCCCATCACGTGACTGAGGCTCTAGCTTCTTTGGCAGTTGGTCGTTCACAATTGCCGAACCTTCGAGATTCTTACGTTTGAGTGACGTCATCCACTTGCTGTATCTAGGCAGGATAAAGAAGGAATGGCAAGTTAGTGGTAACAGTGTTGTTCTTTTACTCTCAGTAAATATTATGTTGGGGAAAAGAGTGATGGGATAGATCTAAGAGACTTTTACATCTGAAAATGTTATTTCATATATTTGTGTATTAGTAGAATTTTGAAGTTTATAGCCTAAAGGCAAAGAAGAAAAAAACTTATCTGTATTTTCCCCTAGATAAGGTTTAAAGTTCTCAAACTTTTTGGTTCACAAAGCCCCTTGCATAGCAGGCATAAGTACTTAACCCCCCCTCTGAGAAAACGCAAATAAGCCCATTATTTTGCATAAAATTTCGGGAAGTTCATTAAAAACTGCAGGTCAGCTTTCCTATTTTCATCTTCTGGGATGATATGAAGATTGGGATAAGACAGCCAAAAGAATATAAAGTAAATAAAAATAATTTCAAATAGAAATAATTGCAGTTTTAATGATACATTTGGAATTTATTCAAAAGAATACAGTGTGTATATTCAGTAGTAACCTGGTAGAAGAGGACATAAATGAAACAGAAAGAGAATTAGACCTGAGTTGATGGTTGTGGAAACTAGGTTATTGGTACTTTGGGGTTCACTGTGCTATTTGCTCTATTTCTCAAGCTCTAACACTTAATTTATTCCATTTTCAGATACTCTTCTTACTTACTGGAACAAAGTATCTCCTCAGGAGCTTATAAACATTCTCATACTTCTGGAGTAAGTTATATTAACTTATTTTTAAAAATTTCTAATTATTTGAGGGAAACTTAATTTATACATCAAATATTACTTCTATTTGCTGATAAATCAGGAAATATTAAGCTATTAAAAAAAGATTTATACATACAAGAACTGGGGTACAGGCCAGAGATTTTGGGGGTGAGAGGCTTTACCAGAGACAGTGAACAGGCACAATGCCTGAAATACACTGCTGAGGGGAGCAGTGGGCAAGACAGGAGAGGTCTGCTGTGCCACGTGGGTCAGCTCCCTGGTGGGGGATTGAACTCATGCTGCAATGGCTGTGGATAGCTTCATAGTGCTGCACTTTAACCCGTACTTTGATAATATAGAAGCTGGCAGTAGGTTCTTTATAGTAGAATAAAAACATTCACAATGAAGTAGATTAAATGGTTGGAATTTAGAATTTGTACTCTTATGGAGAGTTAAGCAGCTCTGTCCACCATATATACATATTCTTCATTTCAAGACACCTGAGGAGAAACCCAATAGTCTTTTCCTAGAAGGTGCTAGGAAGTTGTCCTATGTTGTATGCTGAGCTACTTTGATATCATCATTGAAAGCTAAAAGAAAAACTAGTAGAAATGTGAAATTAAAAAATAAATAGTACTCATACATGGCGTTATATATACATGTTTACCAACACAAAGAGAAAAATCACAGAAAATTTTTATTAAAGTATTAAAATTTTTGCAGAAAATATTAATAAACTAAACAGTAGTTAAGATTTGGTTTTAAAGAAACTACACTGTACTGAAATATTTACTAATGAATATAATATGTTGGGGATTTATCTCCAAAAATACAAGAGGTAGGGAGGATGGAGGAAGAGCAGGAGACCTGTTCAGGGCAGAAGCTAAGAATGGCCAACAGGCGATCATTGTGGAAGCTCTTTGGAGTTTAGTTTGCTTTCCCCACTAATTTTGTAGTTTGTGTTTATAATTTACAATCATAGAAACCACTGTCATGCTGTTGTAAAATAAAACAATAATCGCCCCAATTTCTAGGACTTAAGAGTCTTATTCAGGTTTTAATGACTGTGCTAGTGATGTTCACTACAATATGTTATCAAGCTCAAAGGATGATTTGCATTAATAGGTCTTTCATATTGGATTAAGTTGGGACTTTTTGGTGTTGATGTAATTGTGGCAAATAAATTATAGCAAATGAATAAAAAATAGGTGTAATATGGCAAGCCTACAAGTAATTATGTATATATTTATTTTTGTATACCAAAAATTATATCCTAATATTTAAATAGGCTGTTCTTGTAACACATGCCTTTTCAAATTATTACTTGATAAATTTTTGAGTGTGATAATGTTACTAATCTGGTTTTTTCTTTTTCCTAGAGTATGTTTGTTTCACTTTAGATATATGGGGAAAAGAAACATAGCAAGGTAATTTCCATTGTACTGCAATTTCTACTTTCTTCTTTCACTTCCCACAGAGGGCAGTCTTAATCAGGCCAGTTAAAAACCTAAATTATGAATTTTGAGTTAACAATAAGACAGCCATGACTTATTTGACTTGTGTCAAATCACAGTTTAAACTGTGATAAATATTTAAAAGTCTTCCAAAGGGTATTAGTTAGTGTGATAAACAGGTTTTCAGTTCTAATCCTTGAACAAATGCTTTTGCAAAGTAGGTGAGATAGGAAATTGAGGATTACTTTGAGGTCTGTATTTTCATCTACAGTCTGTCAAAACTCAATTACTAAGGTATGTAGAAATCCCCAACAATTAGGGCATAGCATTATATATTATCTATTTCTAATTTTTGCTGTTTAAATCTTAGTAAAATAAATACTTAAGAAAATATTTGAGGAAAAAAATGCTCCCTTATTTCAATTAGATATATCTTACAGGTAGAGTAAATCTTGAACAATTTCAAGTAGAACTCTTTATAAAGTTGTTCAATAGCATTTTGAAAAACTCCAGCCATTTAGATGGGGTTTATGGATGAGTCTGTGAAACATCCTAATAATCACTAATTCAAGTGGTGATTTCTAGCCTTTCCCCAGGACTGGGAGTGGTATGGTAACTGCTACGATGAGCCTCGGTCTAGGACTGTGCTGGCCTTCCCACTCTGTTTACTAGAGTGTACACAAACTCTTTCTCTTCATTATTTCCTTATGGTCTAGTTGTAATTTTTTAAAATGGAATCATAAAATGAAAGAGAACAAAGACAAATGTGTAAATCCTAACAATTAACATGTTTACAGTATAAAAATTTCTGATCCAAGTTTAACTCGAGTCCAGAAACACTAGATTGGCACTTGTTGTTAAGCATTAAGTCCAGAAGTTCTCCCCCATCTCATTGTATCTCTGAGTATCCGTAGTATTGCTTGCCCTCAGTCTTGCCTGAATCTTAAGTGATGGTCTGGAGGAGGAGGAAAAAAAGAGTGAAGCTTTCTCACTTCCTTAATTATGTTCTTTCAGTATAAACTACTTCACATGTACATTAAAACATAATAACTTCCAGTGACACCTCATGTTAGCCTAGTAATAACTGGTAGAATATTGAGCATAGTACACAGTTTTTATGTGGGAATCTAATCCTTTATTAATTAAAAAAATCTAACATTGAGATCTAGTCTTTTAGTACTCCATTTCCTAACTTTAAACTGTATTTTAGGGTGCATGATGCCTGGCTGCCAAAACACGTTGGAATAGACCGAAAATCACAAACCATGCCAGCTCTTCGAAACAGATCAGGAGTCATGCAGGCCCGGCTTCAGCATCTTAGTAGTCTGGAAAGTTCATTTACACTTAATCACAGTAAGTGAAGTTGTTTGTCGGATACCCATCTACAGACACATAAAGCTATTAAACCTCCAAGAATCACCAATATGAATGGAAATTATTATCACATGCATAGACATTTGTATATTTGTATGTATGTATTTATTTCATCATACAGGAACATATAACCCCCCCCAAAAAAAAAAAACATGGCATGGTTTTCTTATCAATTTTAAGTAATTGCTTTCTTAGTTCAGAAGTTAATTTTCCCCTACTGAATTATTGTTCTGATCGTATTTTTTTTACATTGGCTAGTTTTCATTTTTACTATAAAAACTTAACACATATAATAAGCATCTTAATACAATATTTGTTTAGAGTTACTGTTGTTTACTCAGTAATTTGAAGAGATTACACATTCTGTGTTGACTGCAGAAATCATAGAATTGTAAATACGGTTTTGACAAGGGTGTATTTCACACATGTTGACATATTGACATGGTGAATAAGACAAGGAAAGAACTCTTGCCCAGCTGGGGCAACTAAGGGCTTATAAATGGCAGCTGTCCTCTGAAAAGCAAATATTAATAAAAAGTCAGTGAGAAAACTTTCATTTCCATACAGCCCTCTGGAGGCTGCAGAAAAGCAAGCCAGAGAACAGACTTTGTCAAGAGGACTAATAATAAAAATAAATGTCTTGAGCAGATGGATCCAGAGCTAATAGATGCAGGACCTTTAAAAAAAAATGCAAGTCTTCGAGCTTTCAACTTTGCTCTTGTCACTTGTAAAAATATAATGAACCTGCTTTCTCCATTTGGCTCGATGCTTTGTTTTCCTTCTTATTTAGAAACCAGCCTCATATCATTGGCATAATTGAGAACATCTGGCCAGAGGGCACCACCATATGTAATGAATATCTGTGGGTTTCTCATCTTTGCACACATAATTAGCATGCCCTAAAATGCCTCCCACGTTATTTCCTAGTTACATCACCATAGTTCATCACTGAAATCTTGTCTCCATAGACGTGAGCACCTAATTACATGTTGCAGAGCTATTGATACAGAGCCGAAGTGAAAATCCATAGACCTGATTAACAAAGGCCCTATTTCACTAAGAAATAAATACGCTGAAACTCATTTGGTCTGTACACATTGAGAGCCTCCTTTCTTCTGACTCAGGTCTCTGAGTCTTCAGAGGGAAAATCATTCAAAACTGTTGTGTGAATCTTTGTGGTCGGCAGTATTCATTGCCTTTTTTAATCCTAGGCTCGGCAACAACGGAAGCAGACATTTTCCACCAGGCACTTTTGGAAGGCAACACTGCTACCGAAGTCTCCCTAACAGTACTAGATACCATCTCCTATTTCACCCAGTGCTTCAAGGTAATGATGAAGAGTTAAAATTTATTTGGCATAATTGTGAAGACAGCATCACACAAAAATTAAGCAGTCAGAGGCAGCCTAGAATAGTGAAAAAGTCCCGAGTGAGCAGTCCTCCCTTCCCTTGGATGGCTGACCTGTTTGGCTGTGACCTTGGGAGGTCACCGAGACACACATGCCACATCCAGAAAGTGAGGGGATTCTACACAGTGGCCCTTCATGTCCTCTTTTGTTCCTCTTGACTTGTACTTCATTTCGTGTTTAAAAACCGTTTTCACTTGCACTTGTATTAAAATAGCTGATCACTTCTAGTCCAGATTATGAATTGGTTTGCCCAAATATCCGTTTCTGATGCCATCACTGGGACATCAGGCTAGATGATGCCCAGGCAGCCTGGCCGGCTTCCCTAGACAGGTACTTAGTGTTTTTCCTCAAATGTTTGTCTCTTAGTACAGATCATCATTGCTATGATTAAAAAAAAAAAGGAGGTAAAAGCAATTATCTTGCAGGGTGATTGAAGGAGGAAAATGGGATAATGGATGTGAGAGTGCTTTGAAAAGTAAAAATTATCTAACTACAATGGAAGGTAACATTAGAGGGAGAATGCAGAAATGAAAAATCTTGCTTTCATTTGAGTTACACATCATTTTTCCCTTTTCCCTTCCTTCTCTGAGCAATTTACTTAATTGCTTCAGACCCCCACATTTATAATGGAAACCTGGCTTGTGCTTTTCAAAGAGGATTTTAAGGGAAAAGCCCATTATATACTAATAAGAAATAGACTGCAGAACCCCTTCATGAAGTATTAAGTGTGTTCTGATTTAAAGGTACTGCAGATTCTTTTTTCATCGTACCAAGTAATAAGGAGGATATTTGGTCTCAAGGTTTACCATGTATTCTTTCCCCCCATTCAAATACTTCTTATTTATTTAACAACCCTATCTCTTGGTAGATGTCAGTCAAGTACCATTTTAAGTACTCTGCAAATATTAACTCGTGTTTGTTGTGGGGCTGTGTGTGGGTAAGGACAATGGCTGCATTTGGGTACCAGAGATCATGGGGGGGCGGCAGGTGGAAATGCTTGAAAATTGAATCATGATTACCCAACTGTAAATTTACTTAAAATAATTGAATCTTACATGTGAAAGAGGTAAACTGGATATATGTAATGTATCTATGAATAAAATACAAGTATGAACTTACTTTTTCTCCTACTAGCTTTATGATGTAGATACTGTTATTACTCTCATTTTAAAAGGAGGAACTGAAGCTCACGGGGGTGTTAATGTCACGTAGCTGGTTAGTGATATCAGGATTCAGATCCAGGCCGGTTAGCATAAGAGCCCACGCTTACAACTACTACTGCAGGCTTGGATGTAGGTTAAAGAAACAGCCCCCAGAATCTCATGTCATTAAGGGATTCTGGCTGTTGATGTTAACCATTTAGACCTGTCACAACCTTGCATATACTTTGGGGCTTTTTTCTCCTTTATAGCCAAGTTAGCAAATTAGTTTTTTGAGCAGTAGGACAGTATGGCTGAAGAAGTTAACCAGTGCTTTTTCAAAAAAAGCTTCACAAACCAGTAGCTATTTCTCTACATTTTTTTTACAGCTCCGCAAAGAGCATTTAAACAGTTTATGTTAGCCTGTTCAGTTGTGATACCATTCTTATCTCTACTCATAGAAGGTTTAATTTGTCACCAGTATCTAAACATACTTATACTAAACATCCTCTTTTTTAGAAAAACATACTTAAATGTCTTTAAAAGAAAACATACTTTAAAAAGTAAATTAGGGAATAGGCATTTAAAATAAAATTGGTTTTTTCCTTAATTCCTATGTTATTAGTCACCCTCAGGAAAATACAAAGGCCTTATATCCATTTTGAGTTTATGATTTTTTAATTGAGAGGCAATATGGCTAGGTTAATAGAAAATACTCTTTCCATGCTAGGTCCCTATTTTCTTCATTATGTTGTAAATATAATTTTTTTCACCTGTTTAGAACAATGGAATTTAAGTTTAGATGTAGTTTGTGTGGTAGTTTGGGAAGACACATGCTTTTAAGTTAAACTTTCTGCAACTTTAAACAGTGGTCTGATAAACAGATATTGATAAAGTCAGTTCTCATTCAGGGTGTGGAGGGAGGGTGGCCTAACCTATGTCTACAACTTTTTTTTCTTCCATGTTTTATAGAGCCAACTTTTAAATAATGATGGCCACAACCCATTAATGAAAAAAGTATTTGATATTCATCTTGCTTTTCTTAAAAATGGACAATCAGAAGTGTCACTGAAACATGTCTTTGCCTCACTTCGAGCTTTCATTAGTAAGGTAAGGGAAGAAGCTGTGGGCTGCCAGCAGATGCCCTTGGCATGAAGCCAAGGGGGGAGGACAGGATCATTGAGCTGACATCTGCAAGTGTCCATAGTGAAGCCATTAAGTACTTCTACTGTAAACATAAATACAGAACAGCAAAATGCACGAAGGGGCTTGCCCAAGAGTCCCCTCAAATCAGGACATACGTTTTTATTTCACCTTGTCCTCCTTTCTCGCTTTCAGTAGGCTCCTTTGAAGAGTGTCATTTTCTAATGACAAGCTTTGCCAGTTTTTCTTCTTTTCTGCTGCTTTTAAAAGTATTATGCTAAAAATATATAAATTGTGTATACACGTGTGAATAAGCACTTAAAAGCAGAGACCAAGTTTCATAACCCTAGGGTGTTACGCGATACTTTGCAAATGGTAGGCCTTTGATGCATGTTCAGATGATTCAATCCTTCATTTGGTTGTTATTTGTATCTCTGGGCTCTACATTTTTGGACCCCTTACCTCATCTAATCTAGAAAATCAGACTAGGTTTTTTTTAACATTTACTTATTCATACAGAACTGGGGTACAAGCCAGAGATGCAGTGGCAGTGAGAGGATTCACCAGAGACAAAGTACGGAGCAGAATAGGCAGATTGACGAAGTACACTGCTGAGGGGAAGCAACGGGCAAGAGATGAGAGGTCTGCCTCGGCATGTGGGTCACCTCTGGGGCTGGGGATCGAACTCACACTGAAGCAGCCATGCATTGGCTCCACAGTGCATTTTTCCAACCAGCTGTGCCACCAGGGAGAGCCTCAGACTAGGTTTAAGGAATAAATATAATTAAAAGAGATAGCAACGATTTGTTTCTGGTAGCTTTTTAAAAACTAGTTTATTTATATAGATATTTACATCATTGTTCATTTTTGTACAATGTTTGCTTTCTCCTCTCAGGTGTAGTCCTGAGCTCTCAGGTGTAGTCTCTAAGCTTTTAAACTTAGAGAACAAGGATCATGAACTCAGAAGGACTTAAGATTATGGAAATACATAGTCTGTACCAGTCACACACACTCAGAATCTGTGTATAACATAATCAGACCGAAAAACATAATCAGTTCACAACTTACCTGCGTGTCTAAACATGAAGACCTTTTATTTTATTTGTGTGGTAGCTCATTGTATTCAATTGATAGAGAAATTGGGTGCATTTGAAGCTTGGTTTTTATTTTACTGCCACTCTTCAATACAATTTGTATGTAGAAAACTAAGTTCAAAATAATAATGGTGCAGGACACTAAGGGGAAAAGATTCTAGAATAATTCCTTTAACAGACAGTTACTAGTTAGGTGGTTACTGGTGCTAGAATTATTAAGGATATAATTCCTGAGGCTTGTTAGCCAATAGACTGACATGCACACAGCACTAGGATAAAAGAAGTTCATACAGAGAACTGAGGGTAGACTGGAGAAAGGAAGGGAATTGCTCTAATTTAGCAAACATTTCTCTGTAGCAGTGGAGCCAGAATTTAGTATAGAATCAGCAAGAGATTGAGGAGGTAAATGAGAACCAAATAATTGAGTACTTATCTTGAGTCATATTTCAATATAGACATCAGGGAGGGTGGCAGTAGCAATTAGATTTCTATTAAGGGTGAATTGGTGCAGGCAGGGGAAAAAGCTCTTAAAAGTAGTGTGGAAGATGGATTAATGGCAATGCTTAAGGCCATAAGAAGATTTGTTATCATAATCTAGATAAGAGATGAGGGCCTAACGTAAGATAGTGATAGTGGACTTGAGGAGCCAAAGGCAACAATGGTAAGGAAATAGAATTTTTTAGGATTTGGTCATTAATTCACTGGTTAGATAGTGGAATATGATGGCTGATGTGATATATAGGGAGACACAAAAGATGTCTAATCTCTCTCCTCATGAAGCTCTCAGTCTTATAGCGGGAGAGAGAATGAAAATAAACTTAGTCATATTTGATAAGTACTAGGAAGGAGTCAAGGTGCTGAAATAGAGTGCAGTGATTTATGGGTGATATCTTACTTTAGATAGGTTTGTCACTTTTACAGTGAGACCTGAAATATGAAAGCTCATTTGGTAAGCTCAAGGAAGAATACCCTAGGGAGAAGGATGTTCATATGCATAGGAAAGAGCTTGAAATTCTGGGAATTAACAGGCCCAGTTTAGTTAGAGTTTAGCCATTTAGGGATCGTCAACATACACATGGCAGTTGAAGCCATAAGAGTGGCTTAAATTCCCCTAGAGAGCATGTGGATGTAGAACCCAAGAAAGGTCATGAGCAGAATGTTGGAGAAAAACAATATAGGAGCAACTGAAAGAAAAGTCTGTAGAGGAGATGAGAGAGAGCAGCCACAGGAATAGGAAGAAAGGCAAGGAAGAAGGCTAGTGTCAGCCAAAAGAAAAAAGAGCTCCACTGTTATTACGAGGCCCAGAGTAGTCTAATAAGTAGAAGGGAAAACAGGAGTCTGTGGTCATTCATTTTGTCCATTGGCCTGCTCAGAGGAGTGATGGAGACAGAATTAAGTACATGATACAGTATAGCATAGTGAATTAACTATATAATAGTCATGTTCTCCCTTAAACCTTTCCTACTCTAGTATCTTGACCAGCAAGATTTTGTTTAATCTGGTGAAACTATTAATAGGACTTCCCAATTGCCATTGAGAAGACACTTCTAAAATGCTATCTAATTAGCATTGCTTATGCTGTCAGGGTGATAAAAAGAAGATAGATTCCTGTGATTTGAGTTTAAATTCAAGATTCCCAGGGAACAATTTAGAAAACGGGCCTTCTAGCTTCACACTCCCTAGGACACATTCATCATTGTGTGCTCAGAAGCAGCTTACTCTTTGCTTAGATGTAAGCATGGAGATCATAACAATCTTCTGTCATATGCAAAGTTTATCTTCCACCAAACAGACTGAATACAATCTCAAAATAACAGCCAGTTGGCTGTTTTGAGGATTAGATAGTCACTTTTGTGCTATTTTTCTCTGCCAAAAATGTATCTTTATTTTTTAATGCAAAATTTGTTTTAACAAAGGTGGGCAGCAGTCTAAACATAAAATACCAAGCAACAGAAGCCAGTAAATGTACTAAGTTTATGCTGATGAGAGTCAACATGTATCCCCAACCCCTCCACCCAGCCCCAATGGCAAAACTCATTTATTTAAATAAGTGCAAGGGAATGACAACTATTTCAAAACCGTATCTCAACCCTTTATGCATGGAGGATGTGTGCATATATGTTTGGGTGTGTACACTTCATCTCTACCCCATTTTGTGCCGTGTTCAGTTTTACTTGCTGAATAGAGTCCCACAATAATTTTTTCAGCATTTGAGCATTTGTAGTTAAGGAACTGTTTGAAGATAGGCCAAAAGAGTAAGTAATACAGAATATCCTTCCATTTTTTTAAAAAAGATTTATTTAGGCATACAGAACTGGGGTACAGGCCAGAGGTGCAGGGACAGTAAGAAGATTCACCAGAGAGAGAGAGTGGGGAGCAGAACAGGAGGACTGACTGAAATACACTGCTGAGTGGAGCAGCGGGCAGGTCAGGAGAGGTCTGCTGCGCCAGGTGGGTCAGTTCCCTGGCCAGGGAACTCGTGCTGCTGTGGCTTTGGAGAGCTTCATAATGCGGTGCTTTAACCCGTTGTGCCACCAGGGAGGGCCCTGGCCTCCCATGTTTAAGGCCCCAATTAAACCCATCGACCATTCATTCATTTTAGTCATTCATTAATCTAACACATACTATCGAGAATCTGCTAGCTGTTTGTTCCAGCCCATCGCAGACTATTCTCAGAACTGTAGCTTAACGTCAGGGCCTCACTTTTTTGTAGTGACTTGTATTTTGACTTAAATCATTCTGTCCTTGACACATTCCAGTCCTCGTGTTAGCTGGGTCAGGTTCTCTGGAGCACACAGTGCTAGCCTTCGGTTGACTGTGTAGCTTCGACTTACCCATCATGGTGTTAGGGAGGCTACAGTAGACACTTCAAAGTTGGCCGATTCTTTGGCTGGGTTTTCGGGCACTTACTTAATGTTTTTACTGTTTTTTAGTTTCCCTCAGCCTTTTTCAAAGGTAGGGTGAACATGTGTGCTGCATTTTGCTATGAGGTTTTAAAGTGCTGTACCTCAAAGATTAGTTCGACCAGGAACGAAGCCTCTGCTCTTTTGTATCTTCTGATGAGAAACAACTTCGAGTATACCAAAAGGAAAACCTTTTTGAGGACACATCTGCAGGTCAGTAAAAATCAAAGCTCTCTGTAATCTTTAGCCTCTAGATCAAGAACGAGGAATACCCAGTCCAGTCAGGTAGCTATTGGCTGCATGTGACCACTGGTATTTGGGGTATGACTAGTCCGAATTGACATATGCTGTAAATACAGAGTACACATGGGCTCATAGGAGTATACTGTCTCAATTGTTTTATGGTTAACTATGTTAAAATGATATATTGGATTAAGCAACATAAATTAAAATTCACCTGTGTCTCTTTCCTTTATAATGGCAGCTAGAGGATTTAAAATTCCATACGTGGCTCTGTCATATTTCTATCGAACAGCTCTATTGTGGAGCACAGGTGTGAAGAACAGATGCCAGTTGGTTCCAGGGCTACTATACACCGTGGCCTTGAATAAATTACTTCTCTTGTCTCTCACTGTCTTCTATGTAACATAGTGGCAAACATTCATACCTACATCATAGGGTGATTGTGAAGAATAAACAAGATGATAAAACACTTACTAGATAATCTGGAACAGATAAAAAGCTTTGTGTTTTCTACATTCCAGCATCCCTAGTTACTAAAAAAATGAGAGGTCTCAAGTTACAGTGGAAAGCATGGACTTAGAAATCAGATCTACCTGGGCTTAAAGTATAGCTCACTCCTTATTTACTTTTTGACCCTAGCCAAGTTGTTCAATCTGTCCTAATGGTTTTCCTCCTCATTAAAACGAGGCCTTAGCAGAGTTATTCTGAGTATCAAAAATAAAGTGTGTGTTAGTGCCAGGCCCAATGCATAGCATGTAATTGATACTTAGTGCACGGTTGTTGGTATTCTGCATCTCCATGTTCTTGTGCTTATTTGATGAAATAGATCTGAACTAAACCACATTTGGAAATTCTGGGCTCAGTAGACTTCTTTTTAATATGGGAAAACCTAGGTTGTGTTTCTAGCTTCACTGCCATGGTCTGTGCCATTGTATTTTTCATTGTAGACTGGATTCCAAATGGGGAAACAGCCATAAAATGCTTTTTAAAAGTATCATCACAATGCAAACCACTGACCGAAACATATGTTTCTGGTGTAAATTTTCTGTGTAGTTACTTTCAGATACTAGGGCCAGTGTTACATGTTAGGGTTTTTACTGTTCACTCTTATATGACATTTCACTTGAATACTACCTTCTCCTAAACCATTTCTTAAATTAGTATATTGGATGCCTGAATTCCCCATAGGGCCCTTTATTCTGGATCAAAGCATCAGTTCTCTAAAGTCCCTTACTTCAATGTCAGTGAATTTATATATGTGAAGATTTAACATATCTGGCACCTAGAAAGTGCTCAATAAAGAGTTAACTTTATTATTAATAGTACATTATTCTAAATAACATTATTATATGTTATATATAGGACATATTATATGTTGTAGTAGGATATGGGTAATAATTAAAATAACAGCCTTTGTTCAAAAGACATTTGTAAAATAATATTTGCTTTTTCCCACAGATAATAATTGCTGTAAGCCAGCTGATAGCTGATGTAGCCCTAAGCGGAGGATCAAGGTTTCAGGAGTCTTTATTTATTATCAATAATTTTGCAAATAGTGATAGACCTATGAAGGTATGTTTTCATTTCAAGTTATAAATTAGAGCCATGTTCACTGTCAGGAAAGTTTACACTCCTAGAATTAAACTATCAAATTTACAACAGTCAGCAGTATTGAGTGTATAGAATGGAATCTTTGTGAACCACAACTTTGTCTGCACACCTCTGTACCTCTGGCACACAACATCTACATAGTTGTGTAGTTTTAGTGTTCAGTTTTAGTGTATACATGGTTGTTAGACTAGTAGGGTTTGAATTTTTTCTGGGCTTGAGTTCAAACTTGCTCAGAAGACATTGAATGGATGCTGTTCTAATAGCTTTTTCCAGTTATTATATTGGTTAATTAAGCACTGAATTTGGAATTTCACAAAACCTCACTTCTTGGAATAGCTAACAGCAGGCTGATTCATTGCTAGAAGATGAAGAATGGTACAGAAGGAATTCATTATTTGATGATTTCCTGTTTCAGGAATCATCTTATTTTTTTAAAAGATTCATTTATTTGTTCATACAGAACTGGGGTACAGGCCAGAGGTGCAGGGGCGGTGAGAGGATTCACCAGAGACAGAGTGGGGAGCAGAACAGGCCAAAGGATGAAGCACACTGCTGAGGGGAGCAGCGGGCGGGTCAGGAGAGGTCTGCCGCGCCATGTGGTCACCTCCGGGGCAGGTGGGGATTGAATTCATGCAGAACTGGCTTTAACTTTCTTAGTGTTGTGCTTTGACCTGCTGCGCCACCAGGGAGGGCCCTCAAGAATCATCTTTTAATGGATGGTGGCTTGCCAGAGATACTGACTGGCAATTCCAAGCCCTAGGCTCTCATTTTTCCACGTCAGTTGGACGAGACCAAGCCCAAAGCCCAAGCCACCACTCCTCTTTCTCACCTATGTGCTCAGGTCTTAGAATTTTGTAAAAGTTTGATTGGTGTTTCGTTGCACAGAAAGCAGGTTCTGATCAGCTACGTGTGTTACAAAGGAAGAAGGTCCTTTGCCAATAGAGGATTTTTCCTCCCAGAGGAATCATTCCCATTCTTGGGAAAGGTCATTTTCCAGAATAATTTGACAATATTGTGTAAAATCTGGAAAAAGACAACTCAAAGCCTCTCAGTCACAACATCCTTAATGTTTGGGACGTGTAGAATTTATGTACCAAAAAATATTCCCATAGGAACGTGCCTGAGACTAAAAAAACACTGAGTAGTGCCAGCCATTTTCAGGCTGGGAAAGTTTGCTTTTCAGCCAGTTTTACTGGTTTCCCAGGGGATCAGTATATATTTCAATTAATCCCATGAGCACAGAAACCACTTAGGTCATTTAGATTCTTTTAGTCACACATAGAATTCCTTTTATCAGTTGTTACTGTCTTTAATGCCATGTTACATAAAAGTTTGATTAACAACTTTTTCAAAGTAAATGGGCTTGTTTTGGTTCTCCTTGATCGGAAATCTCTTTCATGACTCATTTCTGAATGACTTCGTTTTATTCTGGTAGGGCAGTCATTACCAGTAAACCCAATTACAAGGTGTGTGCGGGTGTGATCCTGTATCTCTAAATCACATACAGTGTTGTAAGCCAGTGTTACCGCAATTAAAAATCAAAATCAAAAAGAAGCCAAGTGTATGCATTCCACTGGTAGGTGGAATCTTTATAACTGTATAAGAAAGGCCTTTGTTTAGCATTATTAGTTTTAAAAGAATCAAGAGGCCACTTTCTAAAACCATTTCTTGTGCATGAAAGCCTTTCTAGCTCTCCCCACATCTTCCTTACTCATCTTCCCTAAGGCAGGTCATTGTGATGACTCCAGTGGGATGAAGAAGGTGATTGGGCTTTCTTAATAGTGGCCAGGATAAGGAGAAACCTGTTAGTGTTTGGAGGGACAAGAACAACACTTTAAGCAAGGTTAATGATCTCTTTAAACTCTTCAGAGTGTTTTATGATTCATACCCTCTTTGTGTTAAATTGTTTGTTTTATGGGTTCACCTGGGTATAGAGTAGTCAGTGGGCAGGAATAGGGGTGCTTGTCAGCATCAAGTGTGGCTGAGCACCTACTCAGGGGCCTGACAGCCTGGGTCTAAATCCCATCTACTACTTCCCAACCTCGGGACTTAGGCAGTCACTTTACTGCTGTCTACCTCAGTTTTCCTCTTGGCAGAGTAAATTACAGTAGCTCTTAATTCATAGGGCAGTTGTAAAACTTAAAACATGGGAAGCCATGCTGGCAGAGCTCTGACATGACCTCGACTGGCATCTGGACTTGGAAACCAAAAAGCATGTGAAGCACATGCACCTTGGGGGAAGGCTCTCGAGTTCTGGGTCTGAGCTCCAAGAATGTGAGAAAATAGGCCATGCGAGCAAGCAGCCGTGTCTGAGGAAGATAGCAAAAGAGCATTTCAGGAGAAGTGTCTGGGTGAGTGCAAGGGCTCAGCCATCTGGGTCTGGACAGGGTGTTCCAAGCATTAGAACGCCAGACATAGAGTTTTCACATGTCTTTAGATATCCAAGTCCAGATGCCAGTCAAGGCCATGCAAGAGCTCTGCCAGCGTCGCCATTAGGCTGCTAGCTGGTACATAGGCAGTGCTCAGCAGTTTTTATTTCCTCATAACTAAAATGACACAGTTATGGCAAAAACAGGTTATTGTTGTGACTGAAGAACTCATGGTGGAAGACTGGAGCTCAAAGTTTAGTAGTCTGTCTCGAGTCTGAGCTTGTAGGAACTGTGTGTCTACTGCTATCCCATTGGGAACCTTCGATGCCTGAGCTAGTTGAATATTCTTAGAATTCATGGAAAGCTTGAAGACATATTTCACACCAGAACTAAATACCAAACTGTCTCTAAGTAGAAACTGTATATTCTCAGGATTATATGCCAGTGTTTCCAACACATCCATAATTCTGTTAAACATGTCCTTTATGTTTGTTTGAAAACTAGACAACTGCATTTCCCTCAGAAGTCAAAGACTTGACCAAGAGAATCCGGACTGTTCTTATGGCCACGGCTCAAATGAAGGAGCACGAGAAAGACCCTGAAATGCTAATTGATCTCCAGTATAGTTTAGCCAAGTCCTACGCAAGCACCCCGGAGCTCAGGAAAACCTGGCTTGACAGCATGGCCAAGATTCATATAAAAAATGGAGATTTTTCAGAGGTGACTACTTTAGGGCATGTCGTCATCACAGGCTTGCAGAGCCCCTGGAACGATGTTCTGACATTCCTTTCTTTCTCACTCTTCTTCAGGCAGCAATGTGTTACGTCCATGTGGCAGCTTTGGTGGCAGAGTTTCTTCATCGAAAAAGTAAGCTTTTCTTTTTACTCCCATCCCACCCCCCCTGAAGTAAGCTATTTTTGTTCTTAAAAAATGGGGAACTTTTCGGCTACCACGATACTTGTCTTTGTAGGATTCAACTGTCAATGGGATTTAATTGAGCCCTATAGAATAGCTTCACCTTTAGCTTCATTCATTGTTCAACTAAAGTTGTAATTTTTTTTAAAGTCTCAATTGTTCATTTTGCCTTCTGTTTGCACTGAGAGTATAAGTTAAATACTCCTTGGCCAGGCCTGGTGCCCAGTGTTTATTTTCTAAGACTGTCTCCCTGGAAGACTGCCACAAATTAAATTCTTCTCAGAGCTCATGAGAAGCTCTGGAAAATACAGATCAGTTATTTTCCTCTCATCTGCCTCAACTTCACCAACAGCTGCCCACACGCTGTTTCTAATAACTACGTTAATTGAACAGTGCCTTGGTATTAATGGAGAGACCAAATGGCAGCACAGTGGCTGAATAAGAAAGCCCTCATTTAAATAACCCCTGAACAACAATTTAGCACCGGTCCACAGACAGACGTGCCTACTTGGGAGCAGTGGATGCAGCTCTCACGCCGAGGCCTGTCTGTACATAGGTGTACAGACCTCGGTCCTGGCTATGGACCCTGCAGTGGCTCATAAACAGCTCCAGCCCCTTTTGGCTGTAGTCTAGTCTCCTCTGTGAACACTGTTTTAGATGATTCCCTCAGGAAAGTGAACCTTGCTAGAAATCACAGAATCCAGTGGAAAAGCTCCAGCCTAGTACTGGAACAAAAACAAGAAAATCATAAATCTGAATAAGAATCGTTTGACTCTACCCAACTTACCTCTTCCCCAAGGTGACCCAGCTCAGTGCCAAAAGAGACTTGATCTATGATTTCTCCCGTGGGGAAAAGTGAGAGCACGTGAAAGAGCACCTTTCCCAGGTACACATGGCAGAGCCTGAGTACCCACTTCCCCTCTCTTGCCACCCACATATTATTGGGTCATGAGCTGTATGGCTGGAGGTGGCAAGAGGCTGTGAGAGCCACAGACAGGACCCTTGGAGGGTAGTAAAGACACACAAATCCTACTCACCCCATCTCCAGCTCCATCAAGGAGCCTGCCCACAAGTCACCGGGACCCATCACCTGAGGACCCCCCCAACTGTCCCCCCCAGTGCCTCTGCACCTCAAACACATTCTTCCCCACCCTCTAGCCAGCTCCCACTGTGTGCTGCTCACATTGGTGAGGGCAAGCATGGGTAGACAACTGGTGTGTCCACGGAGAAAGCCGACCTGAGTCTGTGGTGAAGGGAATGACTACAAACTTGAGTTCAGCGCCACCGGTGGGAAAGTAAAAGAGAGGCTATCGGCATCCAGCTTCATGGTGCTGTAATCAAGAAAGGCATGCAAGATTTAGGGATTCTGCCACAAAAGAGGATGTATGTGTCTGTGGCGCAGACACATACATTAAAAAATCAGAATCCCCCCAAAAAAGATCAGGATCCAGGGCACATAGACAGCATATCTCTCAAAAGTTGTTCAGTAGAGATGGCTGGAGGTGACGACTGCTTTAAATGTGAAGGCAGCTATGCAAGACGAAAAAAAGATGAAAATTGAAGCAAACGTGCTTCTACCATAGGATCACAGTACTGTCCAGTAACCAACCCCAGAGATATGGAGATATGCAATGTACCTAGTACAGAATTCAAAATAGCTGTTTCAGGGAAGCTCAATGAACTGCAATAAAAACAGATAAAGATAGTTCAGTAAATCAGGAAAACAATGCACAAACAAAATGAGAATGTTTAGAGCTAAAAATCATTAAAAAGAACCAAAAAGTAGGAAAGCCTACACAGTTTATGGGATACGTGTTCATTATAAGAATCTGAAATTATGGAGTCCCAGAAGGGAAGAGCAAAAAAAGGACAGGAAGCCTATTTTAATGAAATAATGACTAAGAATGTCCCAAATCTAGGGAAAAGCTTGGACATCCAAGCTCAGGAAGCTGGTAGGTCCCCAGACAAACACAATGAAAAGCAATCTCTATGATACATTCTAGTAAGACTATCAAAAATCAAAAGTATCATAAATGGTAACTGGAATTATTGTGGTGATCATTGTACAACATATGGAAACATAAGTCATTGTGTTGTACACCTGAAACCACTGTGGTTTTATTATGTCAATTATTTCTCAGTAATTTGTTTTTAAATAAAAGAAAAAAGCCAGAAGAATCCCAAAGTTAGAGACTACTACCTGCCTTTGTGGGAATAGAGAAAAGAAGCTTGAAACTTACAAGGGGAGCCCCCTCCCCATAAGCCTGTTAGTGTATTTCAACAGAGATGATAAATATAAAGAAACTGCCAGCCAAGAATAGTCAGTCTAGCAAAGTTGACCTTCACAAAAACAGATAGACTTTACCAGGCAAACATGTTGAGGGATTGCAAGACCTAGACTTTCTTACAGGCAAATGCTGAACAAAGATCTTCAAGCTGAAATAAAAGGACACTAATTAGTAATGTGAACACATATAAAATGGATATAGGTGGGACACATATATACAATGGACTATTATACAGCCACGAGAAAAAGGAAATCCTGCCATTTATGATGACACAAATAGAGCTTGAAGGGAAAAAGTCCAACAGAGAAAGACACACTATATGATTACACTGATACATGGAAAATAAAAAGTCAGAGATGCAGAGAGTAGGATGTTGTTTGCCAGGACTGGGAGGGAAAAGGATTATGGGAAGATGTTCAAAATATAGAAACTTGGAATTATACCATGAGTAAATTCTGGGAATCTAGTGTGTAGCATGTTGAAGATAATTATAACATTGTATTATATGCTTGAAATTCACTGAGTAGATATTAAATCCCCCCCCCCATCGTTAACAGTGTAAATGCTCTCTGTCACACACACCCATGGCTAACTGCCATACTGCTGTATCCCTCACTTTACAGAATATACATGTATCAAATCAATATATACCTATTACTCTTACACAAGAGTTACTCTCAGAAGAGCTAGGGGTGGGGAAGGAACTGAAAAATTAAAGGAGTCGTGGTTCTGATGACTTCTGGTTTCAACAGGTCTAATTCAGGAATCTGTGTGAAAGCTTCCCTTTCCAAATACAATGTTGTTGACTACCCCAACAATTACTCAAATCGCACAACAATTGAATTAGAGTTCAGAATTTACTGTCAACAGAGATTGCAAAGAGATCTCCCACTATCTGCCAGGATGGCCAACTGCCTCCTTTAACGGTAAATTAGGGCAAAATGAAACCATCTTGTGAGAGTCATATCACTGTATGAGAACACAACTATGTTTTTGTTTTTTAATTCCACAATTCCCACAGTTAACTAAATAATCTTCATTTATGTGTAAGGCTTTCTGTCTCACTGCCTCATGTTTGAACATGCCTGGGATACTGAAATTATTTTGAACAACCCATTATTTGTTTGAAATTGGTACATTCTGGCTTTCTTTTAGCATCTATATGGATTTTTAAAAATGATTATTTATGCATACAAGAGCTGGTGTACAGGCCAGAGGTACAGGGAGTGGGAGAATTCACCAGAGACAAAACGGGGAACAGAATGGGCAGATTGACTGAAGTACATTGCTGAGGGGAGGGGAGCAGCAGGTGGGTCAGGAGAGGTCTGCTGCGCCATGTGGGTCACCTCCCTGGCCAGAGATCAAACTCGTGCTGCAGTGGCTGAAGATAGCTTCACAGTGCTGTACTTTAACCTGTTGTACCACCAGGGACCCCTACATGGATTTAAATTAGAGAAAATGGCTTTAGTTATCAAAAGAAGGCAGGCCTCTTTTACGTCTTTTTTTTTCCCCCTACATCACTGGTTGCCCTGTGAAATTATAGTAAAAAATATTGAAATTGCACCCCTACATTTCCAAACAGACTGGCAGACACAAGAAGCATAAATATGGTATGCAATAAAATTTTATGTGTATCTGTCTGATAAATTAGGTTGATACGATCTCATCTTTTTAATGAATAGATATCTGAAATAGAGTTTTACATTCATTAAGTATAGGACTATATTATTTTGATGTAGAAAATAGTTTAAAATGTTAAAAAATACTCCCTAGAATATTTCATGAGTGCAAAGACCTTAATACTGAGCAAAAATTAGGATTTATCCTTGTCACCGGTCCTTAAGCCTTATGGTTATAGGATTTAGATAAAATAAGCAACTAAAATCTTTGGATATTAGTTTGAAGCAGCTTGCCTCGACACTGTGTTCATGAAATGTGACCTGTTTCAACAAAGTGGAAATAGTGTTTTGTTACCTAATTATTTCAATATTTCATAAAAACCTCAAGACTTTTTAGAATATATTTTTTATAGATATGAGTCCTTGTGTAGGGAAAAAAATGTTTTTCCATTTTAAACCAAAAAAATGTCAAATTTAAGAGAAGTTTACATGTTTATTGATAGGACTTGTCTATTTTTTAAACCTAGGATATTCTACTTGCATAAACTAAAAAATTTTATTCAAAAAAGGTGGCAGCTTCATTCGCATGATCCATAATGCCTTCTTTTATTAATTGATTATTGAACTCTGATAGTTTTGCCATAAAGACTGCTCATTTAAACACAACTTAATTTGTTAATCTTAGTCTGTTAACTTAACCTGTTAACCTGTCATCCAGTCTAAGAACTCTGTGATCTACATATAAGGCTTGATAACTCCAGAGTAAAATACACTTGGATACGGAACTGAAAAAAAATTATGTACACTTAAGACAAACGTATTTAACAAAAACAAGTGAGCAACTCCAGAATCTCATTTTCTTTATGTCTTTTGATAATGAAGACAGAAGGAAATTTAGGGTAAAGTTTAAATCCCTGATTTATCAATTGCCAAAAATTTGTTTTCTCAAAGTCCTGTGTATTTCTCCTCAAGTTATCATAAAATGTTTTTTCAAAGTCAGGATGGAATGAAATACTAAACAGCTGACACATTGGAGACAGATGTTTCCTGTTTAGAATTTTTAAGAAAAGACAATAGTTTGTCCTATTGGGTGGTTGCCTAAGCAAGCTAGAACTTGGGCCCTCTTTCCCCCAGGGGTGACTGTGAAGCACCGTGAGGGACCGTTCTGGGTCCTTTTTCATGTTTCAGGCAGTGAACTGGGAGAGGGAGGGAAGGATGAAAGGGATGCTGGTCCTTGCCCTCCCCACACCCTCTGTCTTCTTTCAGGCCGCCCATGCTCTTGCTCTTTCCACTGGGACCATAGGGACTACCATTCCCTTCTCATTTCCTAAGTGATGATACTGGGTGTCAGTTACTTCTGTCCTCCCAAATACAAAATAGAAAACAGATCTGCGTTTACTTTTATTTTGTCCGAGAACCTCAACATGTCCTAAACCTCGTTCTCTGGAGGCTAGACTTTATGTATCTATCCTGTTTCTCTTCCTGAGAGACAGCACAACTCTTCTCCCCCAGGGAACACCAGAGTGAAATCTCTACATTCTTCTACCACCGCTTCTCATTGGACATTCAGCAAAATTGCAGGCCTGTCAGGCTTCCCCCATAGTACAGGAAAGCAATTTCCTTTCCCATGTTTGCTCTTTTAATTCCTTTTAGGGTAATACGGTTCCCTTTCCCAAGTCTTTGGGCCCAGGATCTGATAACTTAAATTCTACAAAGCTCTTTCTTCCCCAATTCCTTCTCATTCACAGCTTTTCCCCCTTTTCCCCCCTTGCCTCAGAACTCTGAACTCTGAACTCAAAACTCCTGCCACTACCCTTTTTCTGACTAGCAGTGGTTTGTTTCCCATCCTCCAGACTCTTCCCCACTAGATAATTTGTGTTCGAGGTAGTGGGAGGTAGTGGTCTCCGTGAGGACAGTTTGGCTCTTTCAGATAGCAGTCAGGAACACAGAAGCTACAGCTGTGAAGAGGACAGAGTCAGGAACTAAGGTCAACACCAGAAAGGTCGAAAACGGACTCCAAGACTACTTTGTAGCACACCTCCTTCTGTTGAGATCTACCCATTGGCCACATCTTGATTCAGCAGCTTGTTTCACCTGAAAAAAAATCTTTTTGGGGGGACCCCAAGTGGTTTAAAGGCCCTCCCAACAAAAGGATCCTCCTGTGGTTGGTATTGACAACAGGGGGTTGTCATCTCCCCAAGGTAGAGACATGTCATCACACAGAGTAATAAGCAAGGCAAAGCACTACGAGTAGTGGCCCCTGGAGCTGAAAATCCACAACAGCTGTCCACACCCCTCATGGGTAGACAGTGCACTCCAAAATGGCTGTTGACCTCAGTGGGAGTGTAATTACCCTCTTTTTATATGATAACCCCAGAAGATTCTCCCAAGATGTTTTAACCACATCTGATCTGGGACCTACAAGTATGTGTGTGCCTTTCTTTTTAAATTTTAATTTGGTGTTGTATTTTAATCAAGATTTTTTTGTCCTTTGGATTTTTTTTTTTTTTCACAACACTGGCTATGATTCAGAGATATAGGATCCCGTCTCTTCAGAGGTTGATTACCACACCATATCCACCACCAAGGTACCCATAGTCCTCGGTACTCTGCTTTCCACTGTCCCCCTCCACTCGTCAATTTTAGTAGCCTCAATTTTAGTCAGGTTTCTCTTCCTGTAAATCATGGCATTCTTGAAAAACCCTAGATTTGGGAATCACTTATAATAATCATTCCCTTAGAGCAGATAGGAATTTTCCCTCATCAGTGGACCTGTCTGCCTGAGGCCTTCAGGAGTTGACTACATTTTTTGTATTCTCATTGGGGTCTTGGGCCCCTCCATACTGCCTAGCTCTTGATCGCATAGAGGTGACCAACTGGAATGCTTTCTTCTAGATTTCACAAGGTTCTTCTGAGGCACTGCTACTCACAGAGCATCTTGTGGACCAGCTGAGGTTTGAGAACTGTTTGTTATTGGTCCACAACAAAGTAAGGAGTATTATCCTGAATATCAATCAACTATGTCACGCGAGACAATGTTTAGTTCAACTGATTTATTTTTCATACAAAAACTTTGTTGAAGAAGGAAGTGAATGGATTTGCATTCTGATGAAAGCTCCTTATCTTGTGGCCCAACAGTCTGAATAGAACTCTCCTAGAGCTCTGCAATGACCGTTTTAGGCATGCTTAGCCTCAGAAATGAAGTATGTCATACTCTTATCGTCATTGTCTTTATCTAACCTCTCTGAACAAAATATAGCCCTGTGGGCCTCCTGGTGGTGAAGGGATTTCTATCTCAGTTGAATATTCTCACTACCCCCCACACACACCTCTGGCTTGCACCCCAGCTCTGGAATACATAAATAAATTAATCTTTAAAATAGAAAATAAATCTAAAAAATAAAAATAAATCACTAAAATTTAAAAAATTTTAAAATTTGCTCTAAAGTCCACTGGGTGAATCTCAATTTCTCAAAATAATAAAAATAAGCTAATGTATGATCTAGCAGTTCGCTCCTAGGTATGCACCCAAAAATGCAAATGTATGTATCAAAAGAATATATACATTCCTGGGGCCCTCCCTGGTGGCACAGTGAGTTAAAGCACAGTCACTGCAGAACGAGTTCAATCCCCAGCCAGGGCAATGTCCTGCATGGCGCAGCAGACCTCTCCTGACTTGCCTGTTCTGCTCCCCACTCTGTCTCTGGTGAATCTTCTCACCACTCTGCATCTCTGGTCTGTACCCCAGTTCTGTGTGCATAAATAAACCTTTTTTTTAAAAAAGATTATATACACTCCTGCATCCACTGCAATGCTATTTACAATAACCGGGCTATGGAAACAACTTGGGCGCCCAAAGGCAAATGAGAGGTATAGGAAGCTGTGGCATATAGATACTTGTCATGTGCAACAACATGGCATGTCTCTGAAGGAGACTATGCAAAGGGAAATAAGTCAGTAGGAGAAAGACAAATACCCGATGGTGTTACTTATATGTGGACTTTAGAAACAAAACAAAAACAGATCAGACCAAACCAGTAGCAAGCCCTAGAAGTCTGACTGTAGAACAGACGCTACCAGAGGTTGAGTGGAGAAGGATCACAATGGACTTTGGTAGAAGGTTATGGGTGCCTTATTGAGGGGGTGTGGTGTGGTAATCATATCTGAGGGGTGAGCCTCTACCTCAAAATCCTATACAATGTTGTAAACCAATGTGGCCTCAATAAAAAAGTAATATGAAAAAAGTAAACCTCACTGTCATTTTTGCTTTTACTGCTTCCTGAATAAATAGCCACTAACTACTCCCCAGCTATTTCTCCCTTTTGGAAAATGTACTTGAAAAAAGCTCCATCTTCCATGACCCAACTCCGTCTCTCATAGAAGTGTGGTCCTACGTGATAACCAATGTCCTATCAAACGTCTTACCTGAATATTTGTGGCTAGTGAGCTTTCATTTAGACAAAAGTTGGCAAACTCTAAGCTCTGACATGACCTTTTGTTCCATAAGAATTCTAAAATACCTCAATGTCTGACTTTCTCAAACCTCCCCTCTTCCCTCCCCAGACTCCCACTCCAGGAAGCCTCCCACCACATATTTAGTTGTGAGTAAGCCTAATCTTCACAATTAGATTACAACCACTATCAGAATGTGTGCCTTCTGTGAACAGCTCCTTTTCATTGGCTAGCAGATTCTGTTGTGAGGAGCTGAATTTTCCTTCACTCCTAAGTGTTTGGACATGTTAGTGCAGAATCTGTAAGGCGACCATATTGCTTTCTCTACCTAGACTCTTGCCTGACAATAGCAACTTGGTCTACAGTCCAGCAGCTGCTGGCAGCTGGACCTCAACTCCTGCTTCCCAGGGGTCCAGCTGCAGAGTCACTTACTATACAGCTGACAGCGATTATTTGTATTTCTGTCTTGGGAAAACTAATGTATCTATTGATGTGTTTATTTGGTAGTAATAATTCATTGAGCACTTATATGCTAGGTTCTGTTTGTTCTAAACACTTCAGTTTTCATTTAATTCTCATAAGGTAGCTATTATTATCTCTAGTACCCATGATGTAACTTTCTACAATCCCAGAGAGATAAACATGTCTAAAAGTCACACAATTAGTGATAGACTGGGTCTGACTCCAAAATGTGGCTCTTTCAAGGCCCCTTCCTGTTTCTCCAAGGATGTTTCATCCCTGCCATCTGTTCAGTATCCTGCATTCTTAGAAGTCCTAGGCTAGCCTTTCCAAAAACCCACTTCCTTTTCCAGTTTCACTGGAGAGTGAAATTAGGAACTAAAGATGGTTACCAAAGATCATCCCATGGTTACCTGAAAAGTACATGCCCCACTTGATTAGGTGACAGATAACAAATGGACATAGGATCAAAGGGTTAAGGACAGTTTTTAGATCACATTAGGGAATCATCTGTACCTACCAATGAAGATGATGCATAATCAGAATGAAATTTATAAATAACTTGAGCTCCCTTTTGGGGAAGAAGATTCGTAGAGTGTACAATCGAAGGAAATATTTTTTTTCAAGATTTATTTACTTATGCACACAGAACTGGGATACAAGCCAGAGATGCAGGGGCGGTGAGAGGATTTACCAGAGACAGAGTGGGGAGCAGAACAGGCAGACTGACAAAGTACACTGCTGAGGAGAGCAGCGGGCAGGTCAGGAGAGGTCTGCTGCACCATGTGGGTCACCTCCCTGGCCAGAGATCAAACTTGTGCTGTAGTGGCTGAAGATAGCTTCACAGTGCTGTGCTTTAACCCATTGTGCCACAAGGGAGAGCCCAGATGGAAATAATTTCTAGAACTCTTTTTGGTAACTGAAAATTGTACTTATGACCTTGATCCTTACACTGATTCCTGTTTTTGTTTTTATGGATAACCAAACCCTATAAGGTTACCTGTTATTTATGAAACATTTTAAAAATAAGTTTACTGCTTTGTATTCACACAGAATTATTCCCTAATGGATGCTCAGCCTTCAAGAAAATTACTCCCAATATAGATGAAGAAGGAGCAATGAAAGAAGATGCTGGGATGATGGATGTCCATTATAGTGAAGTAAGATTCCTGGACCTGCATTGCCAGTTATATAAATTTGACTTCTTAAAATTTATTTATATTAAAAAGTTATTATAGCGAACTTAATTTGGAAGGTAACTAAGGTTGATGAGTTCTTAAGCATTTTAACTGCCATGGGCAAGATTTCCTTGTTTGGAATGTGGAGCCCTGACTCTGGAACTGTTCCTACTGTCTGGCTTTAGAAATGCAAACATTTATAATACTCAAATCACCATTCCACTAACCAGATCAGGGTCTACAAAAAATAAGGAATACCTTGGGGAAAATTTCCATTAAAAATACGGTGATCAGTATAACAGCTAAGCACAATATGCATAAAAGTCTTTTAAAAATGAAAATTTTCTGTTCTAAACTTCATTTGAATGGGAAAGAGCTTCAACCAGTCAACACGTATTTACTGTATACTGACTGAGGAGCAAGGCTTGGTGATACAGGAGCTATAAGATAGTTAGACGTGACTAGTCCCTCACCACCAGAGTCTACCTGAAGAGACAATCCATCTCCATGAAATGGGAAGAAAACCCATGAGAATGTCATTTGAATAATATAGATTGTATGGTCCATGAGGCATCAAAAACAAGAGCCTTTGAGCTGAGGTAGAGCAGGAAGTTTGATCAGAGAAGGCTTTGAAGAATGAGGATACCCTGAAGGCATTCTAACGGAGGAGAATGGGGGTAAAATTAAAGAGGTAGGAAAATATAAGGCATATTTGGAGTATAGTAGGAGGGTCCTTTTGACTAACCTGATGGGTTCATATAGAGAAGACTGGCAGTTGAAGGCATACCTGAGAGGCTGAATGTCTGGGCTTTGTTCAATAGAAATTTCAAGTATTATCAATGGCTTTGTAGCAGAATAGAGGGAATGACATATAGAATGAATATAGAGGGAAGGCTAGTTTGGTGGAATGTGGGGGTGCAGGAGTAGATAGGTAGGCACTGCCATTTCCCAGAGAAATCAGAGGGCACTCAGAGAGGTGGAGAGAGAGAGACTTACCTGTCACACCGGCGGGTTCAGTGGGATCAGTCCCAAAAAGCTGAGCCCCAAATTACAGGAGTGGCTCTGTTTTATATAGGTTGTATGAGGAACCTTGTCATCCCAGCCATCCGAGCATAGCATTCTTTATTTCAGAATGGGGGTCTAAGTAGCCATAGCTACTAATATTTACAAGCAGTATGCTGCAGGAACATTCTGCTCCAACAAGCAGCAGAATCCAAACAACAGCCTCCCCCAAGCAGCAGGCCTAGGAAAGTAGCAGAACCTAAGCAGACTTGAGAAACTTCCTGCTTCGCTGGGAGCAGAGGCTAGAGAGTCCACATGTGAGGTAGTCAGGGCCCAAACCTCAGGGTGGTGATAGGTTAAGGAGATGTTTTGAAGAAAGGAGCAAGACTCGCTGACTGTGGAAGGGGAAGAATCAAAGGTAATGCTGAGATTTCAAGTTTAGATATTACAGGAAAATAACAGATGGACCACTTTCCAGGGAAGATGATGAATTCAGGTTTGATATGCGTTGAATTTGAAGGAAAAGATTATGAACATAGAAATAACTGTCAGATCGTTCAACATTCCTAGCTGATTCTAAGAGAGATCAGAGTTGCAAATCCACATCTGGAAGTCACAACTGTGTGAGAACCAAAGCAGAGTGAGGACAGGAAATGATATGGCAAGACTAGAGAACCATGAGCTAAACCATAGGAAGATTCACAAAGAATGGAATGACCACTGTGCAAAAATTGAAACGACAAAGCCAGAGAGCTTAAGGGCTTGTAGTCCACAGAAATACATTTTTAAGTTGTATTAATAAACATCAAAGAACCAGGTTAAAGTAACCCTGTGTATGGATCTCAGTCCTCATCAGTGAAATATAGACAGTAATACAACTGTGGTCATTGCACAATAAATATGAAAACTCTCTGGGAATCATTAAGTACTACATAAATGTCAGATTTTAATCCTGACTTGAAAATTTCATTTAACATAGAAGAGTAGATATTTAAAACATGCTTGTTGAATGAATGACTCCAAATAGAATCAAGATACTCAATTGTGATCTCAGCTCAGTTTTTGAGTTTGAAGCCTTTGGGTAGCTCAATTCATTTTTTAAAAAAATTTTAGTTAAACTTAGATGGTTTTCCAGAGATCTCCAGTTTTTGCACTCTGACAGTGGAAAGAAAGATTAAGGGGAAATCATGGAAGGTAAATAGCTGGTTGCAATTCGGGTTCTATCCTCGCCTCCCAAACAGCAGCTTCACCTTATTCATAGAAATGGCCTGGAACCTGACCCCTTTTTGTTTTCTCAAGAGGCACAGTGATGTTTATTAGTCAAGAGCTATAATGAGTTTTCTGTGTAAACACATTTTGGGGAACTCTTTTGTGTTCCATAGTAATAAATTCTGCATTTTACATGATGTACACAGATTAGAATTTTGTTCTATGAAGTAGCATTTTATGTTTCCTTTATTTACATAATAAGACTTCTTCATGCCAGTAGAAAACAGGTGATACGGACTTACAAGTTTTATTGAAATTAAAAACACAAGCTGTCTGTTTAATGTCTGTATTTAAATATGTGAGTTAAACCAATGATAATAGTATCTATTTTGTCTTTAAAATTGAATTTTTGGCTTTTGGTTTCCAATTTTTTTAAGATTTATTTATTTATGCATACAGAACTGGGGTACAGGTCAGAGGCACAGGGATGGTGAGAGGATTCACCAGAGTCAGAGTGGGGAGCAGAACAGGCAAATGGACGAAGCACACTGCTGAGGGGAGCAGCAGGCGAGACAGGAGAGGTCTGCCGCGCCATGTGGGTCACCTCTCCAGTCAGGGATTGAACTCAAGCTGAAGAGGCTGCGGCGATCTTCACAGTGCTGCACTTTAACCTGTTGCACCACCAGGGAGGGCCTGATTTGCAGTGGTTTTTAAAGATACAATTAGCATACAATAAAATACTCATATCTTAAGCAAAGTTTATTAATCTCTTCCTATTTTATTATTATTAATTAACTTTTCCCTTACATTGTTTTAGTCCCCATAGTTTCCCCACCACCATGTCATTGTGAACCATCATCATATCACCTCATGTTCATCCTGCTTTTGTTTTGCACCCCTCCTTTGTTATATGCCTCCTTTGTGTGGTCAGTTGCTAGTTTTTACTTTTTCTTGATCTCTGGTTTGGTTTCTCTATATTCCACATATAAATGAGACCATCTTTTACCTTCTGACTCATTTCGGCTAGCATAATCCATTCCAGTTCCATCCAGGTTGTCGCTAATGGCATGAGTTTGTCTTTTTGGTCACTGAATAATATTCTATTGTACAAATGTACCACAGATTTTTGATCCATGTCCTTTTGGGGGCATTTGGGTTGTTTCCATATCCTCGTTAAACAAAGTCTCGTGAATTTTGTATGTACCCATGTAAGCTACCACCACTAACAAGAAATAGAACATAGCCATTTCCAGTCAACCTCCCCACCTCCACCATTTGATTTCTATCATAATAGATTAGCTTTATCTTTCAGTTTGGTCTTTAATCTTTAGCATTTTAGTGCCATAATATTAAGCTCATTTAACTCCTACCCTTTTAAATCAGGATTCTTGCTTAGCCTAATGTTTTTGAGATGTATCCATGTTGTTGAGTATATCAAAAGTTACTCATTTCAAAATAATACTCCATTGCAACGATACATGATTTTTCTAGTCCATTCTCCTGTTGGTGGGTTTGGATTATTTCCAGATTGGGACTGTTACGAATAAGGCTGCTTTACCTATCATCTTATGGCCTTTTATTAACATAGGCTTTCAGTTTTCTTAGATAAATACATAGGAGTAAAATTACTGAACCCAGGGGAAGTTACATATTAACTGTATAAGAAATTGCTAGAGCTTTTCAAAGTGGTTTAACCATTTTATAGTGTCAGCTGCAGTAAATGAGATTGTTGGTTGCTTCATATCCCATTTTATTGTTCTTGTGTTTGTTCTTGTGTTTGGTCTGAGAAATCTTTGCTTACTACAAGATTATTGAGATATTACAGTCTTATATTTAAAAAAAAATAAGTAAAGATTTGGGCTGCAGAAAAGGGGGCGAGGGTTTGACTGTCTGTAACCAGTTTTTAATTTCTTCCTTCCGACTGTTGCTGGACATTTTAATTTGGCTATTATATGTTAATACACAGATTATTTATTCAGTGAACATCTCCCATACACTGCCACTATACTAGTCAATGTAGAAATCAATATAAACAAGATATTGTCTTTACTCTTGAACAGTCACAGTCTTTGTGCAAAGTCAGATACATGGATAATAGTCAAGTAGTAGTGATAAATTTCTGCCTACTGAGTCATCAGAGTGTAGGATAAAAAGTTTCTCGTGTCTTGCTTGATTAGGAGAAAGATCCTGGAAAAGGTACTACCTAAGTTCTTTGAAAGGGGTTAGTCAAATAAAAGGAAGCACAGCATGAGTGAAGGCACAAGGTTAAGTCAGCAACATGGTGCTTCATGGGAGTTTATTGTTGTTGGAGCATTAAATAAGACTGGGCATGATGGGTGATGACATTATAGAAGTATTGGCCAGATCATTACAGAGCTTATATGCCAAATGAAAGAGCTTGTCCTGTGGCCTGTGAATGATGGGAGCCCTCCAAAATTTTTTTAAAGATTAATTTTCTTATGTATACAAGAACTGGGGTACAGGCCAGAGGTATGGGGGGCGGTGAGAGGATTCACCAGAGACTGAGGAGCACAACAGGCAGATCTATTGAAATATACTGCTACGGGGAGCATTGGGGGACAGGAGGAGGTCTACACGCCATGTGGGTCACCTCTCTGGCTGGGGGTTGAACTTGTGCTGCAGTGGCTGCAGAGAGATACATAGTACTGTGTTCTAACCCGTTGTCTTTACTATCCCCCCAGGGAGGGCCCCGTCACAAAATTTTAAGGAGGAGAGAAGGTCACAGTCTGGTTTACATTTAAATCAGAACCCTATGGCAGATTGGTGAAGAATAGATTTGAAAGTACCAAGGCTGGAGGTAGGAAGATGGGTTAAGTAAAAAACAATGAGGTGAGGTCTTGAATCTTAGCTATGACAGTAGAAATGGAAGAGTTGAGAAATATCTAGGAAGTAAAACTGGTAGGACTTGGTATTAAACTGACTAGAGATTGAGTAAACAGGCTCTCCCGAGTGGTGCAACTGGTTGGGACACAGCACTGCAAGCTTGCTGAAGCTGCTTCAGTGCAAGTTCTAATCCACATGGCGCAGCAGACCTCTCCTGACCCGCCCACTGCTCCCTCAGCAGTGTACTTCATCATTCTGCCTGTTCTGCTCCCCATTCTGTGTCTGGTGAATCCTCTCACCGCCCCTGCACCTCTGGCCTGTACCCCAATTCTGTATGCATAAATAAATAAATCTTTTAAAAGAGAGAGAGAATGAGTAAACAAAGAGAGTATATTTGTTTCCTAGGGCTGGCATAGCAAAATACCACAATCCGAATGGCTTAAGACAACAGAAACATGGTATTGTAAGGTATCTCTTACAGTTCTAGAGTCTGGAACTCTGAAATGAAGATGCTCATGCTCCCCCTGAGACTCTGGGTACATTCCTTGCTTCTTCCTAGCTGCCAAAATGTCTCTGGTATATGGCTATTCATTATTCTTATTATTTTCTCACCTGGTCCATTATACTCCTGTTATGTATGAGTGAAACCATCCGCTATTTTTCTTTCTCTTTCTGGCTTATCTCACTAAGCATGATCTTTTCCAGCTCCATCCAAGTGGCTGCAAAAAAACATGCAAAATCACATCATTTTAATAAACACCTAATCACTAGTGCAACAGCTTGAAAATTAAGATGTTAATTTTCGAGTTAAGAGTCTTCTACTGTGTGTGAATGTAATTACAATAAAAGGAAAAATAATTGTGTTTATAGGAATTCTGTTATTTAGTGGAATTTACTGTTAGAGGTCTAGTCAGACTTCCTCAGTTTGGAATGGATACTATATCCCCTTTAAAAGATGACTCCTACTCAATATGTACCATTTATTTATGAGTACAATTGATCTTCATTATGTGAATAAACAAATAGGTAGTGTTTACTATTGTCAACAGTAATTTCCTGTTTGTAAGAGTGGTTTCAATTTCAGGTGCTCCAGGTATTTTATTGAGGAAATAGTCATGTAAATCTATTATTAACTATAATACCTTCTGTTCCTTATTGAAATGGTTTAAAATTTACATGCCCAGAACACTACAGCTATGTATACTTCCTAACGGCATTTTCCTCTTAATGCAGGAAGTTCTGCTGGAGTTGCTAGAACAGTGTGTGGATGGCTTATGGAAGGCAGAGCGTTATGAAATAATTTCTGAGATTTCCAAGTTGATCATTCCAATTTATGAGAAGCGTCGTGAATTTGAGGTAAGTCATTTAAACATTTGTGTTACTGTCATATATTGTCTTACTACATAGAGAGTTGTCTTACTATTATTTTACTGTGTGCCCTCCCGTGGGTAGAATGTTAATTATATGATGGCATTTATAGTTTATCATGAAGTATAGATAATTAGGGTATCATTTTGACATATTTGTCCAATTGCAATCCATACAAATCTTGTTAAGCTCTCAGCTTAGCAATAGTACCTTATATTCATATAAACTTTCCAAAGGAAATTAAGGATAAAATATAAATGGAAATGCAGATTATGCCAGCAATTCTGAAGACATTTTTTATCTAGTCATCTTCCCTCCTCCCTTTGAGGCATTTTTGAAAATCAGTATTATCTTCACTAAACATTAAACGTTCATTTAAAACCCAACTGAGGGCTCTCCCTGGTGGCGCAGTGGGTTAAAGCACAGCACTAAAGAAGCTAAAGCCACTTCCGCATGAGTTCGATTCCCGCCTGCCCCGGAGGTGACCACATGGTGTGGCAGACCTCTCCTGACCCGCCCGCTGCTCCCCTCAGCAGTGTACATCGTTGATCTGCCTGTTCTGCTATCTACTCTGTCTCTGGTGAATCCTCTCACCCTCCACATCTCTGGCCTGTACCCCAGTTCCATATGAATAAATAAATATTTTTTTAAAAATCCAATTGAATTTCCAGTTGCCCCAGGAAGAGTACAGACGTGCTGCTCTTCTTCACAATTCAGTGGGGAGACTAAAGGTAGTAGCGGAGGACAGTGGTGCAGGTAATAAAATACCAACAAGAGATCTACCGTGAGGAGTGTTTCCAGTTTAGTCTCCCAGCCAACACTGTTGATAAAAGGATCGATAGTAAAAATAGTAGCACAATGAACAGCTATGACCACTGGCACTGAACAGTAATTTTTTTATATTCAGGTCTCCGAATCTGTACCATCATTTCTAAACATCCTGTGCTGGGAAACAGTGACTTAGGAGTACAGTAATTTTATTTAGTTATTTAAGATTTATTTTGTTACTCATCTAAGAGCTGAGGTGCATATGGGGGTGAGAGGATTCACCAGAGACAGAGTGGGGAGAACAGGAAGATTGACTGAGTTGCACTGCTGAGGGTAACAGTGGGCGAGACAAGAGGTCTGCTGTGCCACATGGGTCAGCTCCCTGGTGAGGGATTGAATTCTGTGCAGCAGTGACTCCTGATAGCATGATACTTAACCTCCTGCTAGCTGAGACTTAATCCCTTGTGCCACCATGGCGCAGCTCTTTTTTTTTTTTTTTAAAGCAAAGCAATTTATCCTTTAACATAGCACATAGTTATCAAAACACCATACGAAGGGCCTCTCTGGTGGCATAGAAGTTAAGTCTCAGCAGTATCACACTGTCACTGCTATTGCCTGAGTTCGATCCCCAGCCAGGAAGGTGACCCACATCTGGCACAACAGACCTCTCCTGTCTCGCCCCTGCTCCCTTCAGCAGTCTATTTAAGTAGATCCACCTGTTCTGCTCCCCACTCTCTCTGATGAATCCTGTCAACCCCCACACCTCTGGCCTACACTACCCAGTTCTTGTCAAAATAAATAAATAATTTTAAAGAAACATATAGTAGGTAACTTTTCACTGTTGGAGAAGTTTCACGAGTGAAAACATATTTAGTGTCATCTGGGCAATACCTCAATATTTGCTCCAAAGTGGCTCTGATCAAGCTCACTTTTTCTTTGCATGTCCCGGGTACTTTTCTCTTTACTATCCCTTTGGTATATGTGAGGCATGTCTGAAAATTATATTGGAGTTCAAGTGGTTATATTAGTAAACAGAATTAAATAATAAAATCTAGGTCATATATTGATAGATAGCAAAGAATAGGAGACTAGTCAAGAATTGGCATTACCCTTTTTCTCAAAACATTACATCTTAAGAATCTTTATAAAACTTGCAAACTGAATGCCCCATATTTTGACTCAAAAGTTGAACATCAGATGTTAGAATCCCAGAAAGCATTTTGTTACTAAATCAACTAATAGGAGAAATATATATACACATGCTTTTTTCCTCCATACAGTATTTTCTAGAGGGGAGCTACTGCTACTTCCTTGTAGGGATGTAAGGTTTTGTATAAATCCTTTAGAATGCTGCATGAGATGAAGTAACTGCTTCTGGGATACCAATATATGATTTTTCAGCATTTCTTTATGGGATAGACTGAAAATTGAGACATAGAGGTGTAAAAGTAAGGGAAATTTTCCTCATGTGGAGCTCAACTGCAGGTAATTTGGGGAGAATTTTAGAGAAATACCTGCACCTGTGCTCCCCTTTTCTTTTCTTGAAGTGAAATTCACACAAGATGCCTTTGTACTTACCACATCTCTCTAGTTTCCAGAACCCCCAAAAAACATTCTCTTCCTATGACATAATCTCTCCATATCATACTCCCTATTGCCTGGTAACTACTAATCTGCTTTCTGTCTATGGATTTTCCAATTCTGAGTATGTCATTAGAAACAAATTTATACAAGATGTGACCTTTTGTGTCTGGTTTCTTTCACTTAGGCTAATGTTTGGAAGTTCATCCGAGTTGTGGCATGTATCCACACTTCATTCTTTTCCATAGCTGCACAATATTCCATAGTATGGGTTTGCCACAGTTTATCCATTTATCCACTGACAGACATGTGTCTTGTTTCTGCCTTTGGGCTCTCAGGAATAGTTCTGTTCTGTGCATTTGTATACAAGCTTCTGTATGAACAAGTGTTTTCACTTCTCTTGTGTATGTACCTAGCAGTGGAATTCCTGGGGTTTATGGTGATCCTGATCCTAACTTGCTGGGTAACCATCAAACTGTTTTCCCTTTTACCTTCCCACCAACCAACACTTGCTTTTGTTTTTTATTAAAGCCAGCCTAGTAGACATGAAGCAATACCACTTTATGAATTTCATTTCTATTCCTTAACAACCAGTGATTTTTTTTAAAGATTTATTTATTTGTGCATACAGAACTGGGGTACAGGCCAGAGGCTCAGGGGTGGTAAGAGGCTTCACCAGAGACAGAGTGGGGAACAGAACAGGCAGATCAACTGACACACACTGCTGAGGGGAGCAGCAGGCGGGTCAGAAGAGGTCTGCAGCGCCATGTGGTCTCCTCCGGGGCAGGCGGGAATTGAACTCATGCAGAAGTGGCTTTAGCTTCTCAGTGCTGTGCTTTAACCCGCTGCGCCACCAGGGAGGGCCACAACCAGTGATTTTTGTACGTTTTTTTTATGTGCTTGTTGGCCATTTAGATATCTTCTTTGGGAAAATGCAAGTTCATGTTCCTTGCCCCTTTTATATTGGGTTGTGTGTCATTTTGTTGTAGAGTTCTTTATAATTTTTTGCATATAAAGCCTTTAGCTGATCTGTGATCTTGCAAATATTTTCTCCATCCGATAGTTGTCATTTCACCTTTTTTATAATGTTCTTTGCACTACCTGCTCCCTTTATATGAGTAGGCAAGATATATTCTTGAAAACATCTGTGCATTTGTATAAAAGTAGAAAACATCTGAACTTGTACTATTGCTTATATTTGTATTTGTATTTTGCTTTTATCCCCAAAAGATTTTGCATGAAATGTTGATTCTTATCTATTCACCTAAGTGCTCAAGTATTTTGTTTCTCTTTCAGTTAGAGTAATTAAGACATAGAAAACAGTAGTCAACAATACAGTATTTTTTTAAAAAAGTTTACATTGCCATTGAGATACAAAACATGAGATACAAAGCATTATTGGGGCATTTTAAGCACTACCCTCAGATCTACAATTGCTGAGGAGGGCCCTCCCTGGTGGGCCATAGAGTTAAAGCATAGCACTGAGGCTATCTGCAGTCACTGCAGCACAAGTTCAATTGCTGGCCAAGGGGGTGACCCACATGGTGCAGCAGACTTCTCCTGTCTTGCCCACAGCTCCCCTCATATGTGTATTTGAGTCAATCTGCCTAGTCTGCTCCCCACTCTGTCTCTGGTGAATCCTCTCACCACCACCCGCCTCCGCACATCTGGCCTGCACCCCAGTTCTTATATGCAGAGATAAATAAATCTTTAAAAATTAAAATTGTTGAGGACATACGTTTAATTGTGACAGTTAAAAAAACTGAGTGTGAATGACCTCAACAAAATGATTTTTTTTCTTTTTTTTTAAGATGCGTTTATTTATGCATCCAAGAGCTGGGGTGTAGGTCAGAGGTGTAGGAGGAGGGGTGAGAGGATTCATCAGAGACAGTGGAGAGCAGAACAGGTGGATTGATGAAAATACAGTGTTGAGGGGGAGCAGCGGCCAAGACAGGAGAGGTCTGCTGCACCATGTGGGCTAACTCCTGGATCAGGGATCGAACTCTTGCTGTAATAGCTGCGAATTGCATGACAGCGCTGAGACTTTAACCCTTGTACCACCAGGGAGGCCCCCAACAAAATGATTTTGAAAAGGGAACGATCATTTTCTCCTCCCAACTCCATGGATTTATCTTTAAGACATTTTGTAATTAACCAAAAGACAAAGCCAATTTGCTTATTCTTATTTTTCAGAAACTTACTCAAGTTTATAGAACTCTTCATGGAGCTTACACAAAAATCCTGGAGGTTATGCACACCAAAAAAAGACTTCTAGGTACTTTCTTCAGAGTTGCCTTTTATGGCCAAGTAAGTATACTTCATGAAGTTGTCCTTTTTAACAATTCACTTTTGAATTAAGAGATTACTGTAGCAGCATTTGTTGGTTCTATGATTCTGCCTTGATAGAGTGACTATCACAACAACAGAAGATTTTTTTTATAAGTGTAAAGTTCACTTGGTTCCCATATCTAAATCCATTCGGTCAGAGTCCATATCATATAAAACTTGAATTCCCCTTACTTTCAATTTCTGCTAAGTTTCTTAAAGTATATGTTTAATACCCAGTAGTCAAAGCTTTCAAATAAAAAGCAAGGAAGTATACAGATAACGAGAAAATTCTAGTGCAGAAATCTTCAGACCAATCATGTTATGGGACAGAATTGGAAAATTCCCAATTCTTTGAAGTTAAAAGCTTGAGTATATGCCTTTGACATTTCATGCTATTATTTGTCTATCAAACATATCATTGCTGCTTACTTAGTAGATTTTCTTTAAATGCTGTTTGCTCCCATGATTTTAAAAATATTGTGTTACTTTACAATAGTCTTTTTTTGAAGAAGAGGATGGAAAAGAGTACATCTATAAGGAGCCAAAACTCACCGGCCTCTCAGAGATTTCCCTGAGACTTGTTAAACTGTATGGTGAAAAATTTGGTACAGAGAATGTCAAAATAATTCAGGATTCAGACAAGGTAACACCCCCTGCATTTCGAAATCATGTTACTCTAAAAATGGTATGTTGCTCCTAATTTTTACCTTTCTAGATGATGGAGAAGCATGGAAATTGAGCCTTTCCAGGTGGTAAAAGAGAGAACAGGGACTTTGGAGTCAGAGAGAGCAGGATTCAGATCTCCATTCTCTGCCACTGGCTAGCAGTATGACCCTGGGGGAGTTACTTCACCCTCTCTGTCACAATTTTTTTCTCATCAATAAAATGGAGACAATAATAGTGCCTTCGTCATGGAGTTGTATGGATTAAATATCTAGAAAATAATTCGAGTTCCTGATACAGAAAAGGGATTCCCTAGTTATAAGCTAGTGTGCTCACTAAAAAGAAGTCATTAGTGTGAATGCTGTGATGCATCATGCTTCTCAGTTTGTTGTGTCTGATTAAAATCATCTTGGGGACGCTCATTTCGTGTGGAGATAGCCGAACTTCCACAGTTACAAGTTACATTGCAACGAAGTCAGTTGAACAGTGATGCCTTAGGCCTTGCTCTAGAGGTTATGCATCTCTCCAGGCATTGCCGAGGCTGCATGGGAAAGGTTCCACCAACCAAACTCTTCCTAGGGAGTGCATACTTGCCTCTAGACAGAAGTTAGGGAAAGCACAGTAGGAATGTTTCAGAGCAACCAATGGTTCGTAATAGGCCTTCTGTAGGAGCCACAGGATGAGAGTTGTTTTTTTTTTTTTAAGATTTATTTATTTATGCATACAGAACTAGGGTGTTGGCCAGAGGTGCAGGGGGTGACAGGATTCACCAGAGATAGAGTGGGGAGCAGAACAGGCCGACTGATGAAGTACAGAGCTGAGGGGAGCAGCAGGTGAGACAGGAGAGATCTGCTGCACCATGTGGGTCACCTCCAGGGCTGGGGATTAAACTGGTGCTGCAGTGGCTGCTGATAGCTTCACAGCCCTGAGACTTAACTCCATATGCCACCAGGGAGGCCCCCGTATTATTTTTGTTGTTGTTGCAAAATGAACATTTAAATCAAATAATGTACTCACTCTGGAAATCATATAGTCCTCCCTTTTAGAGTTTGATGGGTTTGTTTTTGATGATTTTAGTTGGTATAGGCCATTATAGGCAAGGATCAGCCTGAGGGGTAAACTTAATTTTCTCAGGTCTTTTTTGATCCTGGAACCTCCTACCCTGTTCATGCACATTGACTTTTAATTTCCCTCATATATGCAGTGTTTTTTTTTTTTTTTAATACCTAGTCTGTCTAGTTCTCAAGAGGGAGTAAAGAGCAAAGAGGGGAGGGTGCACTAGTCCTTTGACCCCATGGAAGTCATTTCACCTAGCAGGGTCATGTGTAACAATAGGGGCAGTGCAGTAACAGTGGCCACAGCTGCTGTGATCTGGAGTAGTGATTATAATCCTTGGATGTGGAGAACATTCTAGATACCTGTATCTTGGCTCAGTTTGGCTTCCTGCTTCAGCCCAATATTGGGATCCTGGGAATTTGCTTTCATTTCTGGGCTAGGGCTCTTTGCTTAGAACCTAAAGTGGCACATAAAGCCCTGTTTGCATCACTATCCTTTTCTGCCAATTTTTGTTTGTGGGAATGTTACCCCTAACTCTGATTCCCAGTCTGTCTTAGTTTTATGAACTTTATTAAAGTTGTCTAGTATATGTGTTTTTGATTAGTTACATTCATTTTACAAGAATGGTAGATAATGGCTCAGTTATGGGATAATGGTCTGATCACTGTGCTCTTTGACTATGCATCTTGGCTGAGGGCTGTGTCCACTCACTTCATTCTAGGGAAAGGTGATTCCTGATATCAAGAATTGTGCTCTTTCCAACACTGTCCATTCTACTTAGATTCCCTCCCACTCACATTTGTGGGCTGGTGGTCATAGATCATCCCTGGAGGATTCGAGGACAGCATTCTGGGAATTCATTGACTTTTGGCCCCCTTTGTTCCCTCCCTTTGTGGAATAGGGTACTTGATCCTTCAAATCTGTGTGCCATCAAGGGTCAGTTCCATTCCCATGGCTGTTGAGTCATGAGGAATTCTGAGGTCAGATGACTGAGGGAGATCACTTTGAACAGCCCCCAGGGTGGTTCTTAGTCCTATTTCTCTTTGGGCACATGCCTCTGAAGATAAAGTGAGTGTGAGTATTGATTAAAAAAGAAACAATCAGGGGCCCACCCTGGTGATGCAAGGGGTTAAAGCACAGCACTATGTATCTCTCTGGAGCCACTGCAGCACAAGTTCGATCCTGGCCAGGGAGGTGACCCACATGGCCTAGCAGACCTCTCCTGTGTTGCCCACTGCTCTCCTTAGCAGTATATTTTAGCAGATGCACCTGTTCTGCTCCCCACTCGGTCTCGCACCACCCCCACACCTCTGGCCTGTACCCCAGTTCTTGTATGCAGAAATAAATAAATACCTTTTTAAAGAAAGAATCAGTTCAAATCCCCAATATTTGCAAGGTACTCCTTCTTACCCACCTTAACTCCCACAAACTGTTCCAGGAATACCTGCACAGTGCCTGCCACCGTCATGAGTGGTGGGATGTTATAGCTGTATTGTACCCAGAGCTGAAATTGACTGGTTTGGAAATAAACTGCTCTTTTGTACCCAAGCCTTGCCATGGAAATTGCAAGTGTTGAATAGACTTCACAGCTCTAAAAGTTACATCAGACAAGGTTCTGTCAGCCTAAATGTTGTCTAGAGAGGAAGATAGATTTCTGGTGCTCGATGATTTTCTCAGAATCCTCTCTCTAATGACTTTCAGATGTACACTTAACCATATTAATGTTTTTGAGAAATCACGTTATAAAATAATGTCTAATGAGATCTCATTTTAGTAAATATGTGTGCGGAGTGGTCATTGCTGAGTTGTAGGATTAGTTTTTATTTTCATCCTACATTTCTGGAATCTCCAAATAGGTTTCTGGAGCAACTGTATAATCAGAAGGAAATGAACTTAAAAAAAAGAACAAAGACTGCCTTCAGGAGGGAAACTGCTAATGGTAGTGATCTTCAGCCATCTTAACTGAGGTGGAAGCTTACCTGTGCCCCCTTTTCCTTTTGTTTGAAGAAAAACAAAACTTTCTTACTTTATAGGTAAATGCCAAAGAGCTTGATCCAAAATATGCTCACATCCAAGTCACTTATGTGAAGCCCTACTTTGATGATAAAGAACTTACGGAAAGAAAGACTGAGTTTGAAAGAAACCATAATATCAACAGATTTATGTTTGAGGCTCCTTATACATTGTCAGGCAAGAAGCAAGGCTGTGTGGAAGAACAGTGCAAACGCCGTACAATTTTGACCAGTAAGTTGGACTCTGTGTAACTTCTTGTTTGACTTGGTCCTCTTGGATACACACTAAGTAACAGCTGGCCAGCAGAAAAATGTAACTGAACTTTTAATCATTCATTGTTCTGCTGGTCAGTGACTAGCTTGTACAAATATGGCTGTTATAAACCAGTTTTCCCATGATTGCTCTAGGGAGCCTCATAAAGAGAATTTTCCCCTCAGTCCTAAAGCAATAAGGTGCTATATGGTACCCTAAGGTATTTTCTAGAGAAAGCATGGGTAGAGTTAAGCATAATGGATTTTTTTTTCTTCACTTTGACTGTTTGAACAAATGCTTTTTTAAAGTACTAAATCCATCTTAATGTTTTAATAGCATCAAACTCGTTTCCATATGTGAAGAAGAGGATCCCTATAAACTCTGAACAGCAGATTCATTTAAAGCCAATTGATGTTGCTACTGATGAAATAAAAGATAAAACTGCAGAGCTGCAAAAACTTTGCTCTTCTGCTGACGTGGACATGATTCAGCTCCAACTGAAATTGCAGGGCTGTGTTTCAGTGCAGGTATGTTGGCTCCCAGACTCGTGTTCGGTGTTTCTTGCTGTTCCTCTTGCTTACATACAGGTACCAAGCAAGCATTGATGATAACTGGGTGTTACATGCTTAGTGAGTACAAAACCCTGTGCATTAGTTTTGATTGGCTCAATAAAGAATTTATGTTGAATTTTGAGAAATTTTATGTTATATCAGAGGGCTTTAACTAAATCCCCGCTGACCGTAGCCACACTCTGTATTTACACAAAAGGAATCATTAACTTACTACAATATAATCTTTGCATACTATTTGTTTTAATCATTTTCAAAGCAACCTATGGTAAAAATATTAAATATTCTTCTCAGATGTGAATTTTTTAAATGTATATATTTTTTTAATAATATGTTTATTTTTACATCATTTTGTGCCTTTTTCCATCTCAGTTGTAATCCCTGTGGGTTTCCTGTCACCCGTGTGCCGTCACCATAGTCCAGTGCACTCCCCTTCCCCCGCCGCCATTTTTGATCCCATTCCCCACTCCACCCCGTAAAATGTCTCTGGTACATAGTTGTTCATCACTATTATTACTATTTTCTCCCCTGGTTGTATGGGGTTTTTTAAAAAACAGAAATGAACAATTTACTGTTTCGATGCATTGTGATGACTCCTGTTTACTGCCCCAAATTCTCCCTGCAATTTAGGTAAATGCTGGTCCGCTAGCATATGCACGGGCATTCTTAAATGACAGTCAAGCCAGCAAGTATTCACGTAAGGAAGTGAATGAATTGAAAGACATGTTTAGGTAAGTACTTCGTAGTTTTCAGATTAGACTTCTATTCTTGATTCCATTTCCATTTTTAAAAGAAACTGAAATACTCATCAAATAATATCCCTACCCAAAAGGACTTTGTCTTCCTTACAATATTTAAGTGACCTCCTGATGGTACATTAAGTGGTGAGGTGCTGTGAGATCTCACTCTTGCTGCAGGGTAACAATGTCTAGTGACCCAAGAGGTTAAATCTACCAGTTTACTTTGCTGCTTCAGATACCGTGGCACAAAGGCAGGGCTACAGTCATTATGGAATTGCCTCCTTTACCCTCTTGGCCTCACGTCACAGGGCATTTCAGACCAGTAGGATGTAGGAAGAAATTTAGTGCTTGAGGCACTGGCTAGGCCTCCTTCTATCATGTGGTCTTAACTCCCCTGCATTCTGTCAGTCTGGGACACCTGTTAGTGAAGGCATAGCCATGTAGTCTGGTGTGAGAAGAACAAATCTGTTTAATATGTAAAAAAAGTTTACATTCTGAACAAGAGAGTTGAGTAAAAGAGAACAACAAGAAAGATAGTAACTTACCACCCAGATGCTTCCCACTTCGTTCATGTTCCTGTTGGTGTACTACCAGCTTTTCCAAGTTACAGACTAATCAGTAGTCATTCATTCACTACTGCTTATTAACCTGACATGTACCGAAAAAATCCTGCTAGTTGCTATGAGGGGGTATGTAACAAGTGGACAGTGAGGTAGCTTATCCCCTAAGACCTACCTCTAATTACAGACTTTGAATAATAAACACATGAAAAGATGGAAAAATACTTTGATGATAAGTCATCACCTCACGTCCCAACTATTAGCAGCCCAAGGCAGATACTTCACAACTACAGTGCCTAGCTCTATACTGGGTATATAATAAGCCCCAAATAAGTTATCTTTTGCTAATGATTTCTTATCTGCACGTGCAAATTAATATTAGCACAACTTCAGCTGATGTAATACCAAGTAAATAACTGAGCTTTCTAGAGGGTATATGTTTAGAGCCAGGTTTTGAAGGGGGAAGAAACCAGAGGGAAAAGAAATGAAAAACTATTTCAGACTTAGGGAGGGGCAGAAGCAAAAGCACAGTGAGAGAAATAGAGGATTCTGATCTTGCTTCTAGGCCAGCTGTGTTTACAGTAAATATCAAGCTGATTGCCAATAAGACCTTCTAGGAATAAATAGTAAAACCTGCGTCTTGCTCTTCCTCCACAGGAAGTTCATACAAGCATGCAGCATTGCCCTGGAACTAAATGAGCGGTTAATTAAAGAGGACCAAGTTGAGTACCATGAAGGGCTAAAGTCAAATTTCAGAGAAATGGTGAAAGAATTATCTGACATTATCCATGAGCAGGCAAGTATTAGGGTGGTGGAAAATAAAAACCTGATCTAGGGGTCCCAAAATAATTTACTTAGCCAAATCTATTTCTTTGAAAGGCATTCACTTGAAATTACTTGGTCACTATTTTAAATTTGCTCATACTGTGCTTGATCACTTAAATGACATAACGCAAATCAAATTCGAAGCAATTATCAAAGCAATTATCAGTAATAAGCTATTTGATTCTTTGTGCCACGGTGCCATTAGTCCAACTAGCTGCACATGGCTAAATTTATCTACTGTGCACATGGATGAGAGTCCCTTCAAAAGGGCCCTAAAGAGTTGAAATGATGGGCTCGGTAACCAAGTCCCTAAATGAATCTCCCTCTCTTGGCTGTAAGAAACTAAGTACTGTCTTTTAGGTAAGATCCTGGGTGATTTCCAAAATGTGGGAATTGTCTCAATCCTTGCACAGCCTGCAAAGCTTTCTGTTTTCACAAAACTTTTTAGCATTTTCATCTTGACTGAGTGACAGTTGGAACTATGTTAGTAAAACAACCTGATAAATAATAGAAACAAAGATCCGTTCACCCTTCATAGACTAACTATATCATAGTTAGGTAGTAACTACCTATGCTCACTTACCTTTAGAAAACCAGATTATGCTGCTAAACTTCAGTCCTGTACTGGAGTCCTAAAATTTGTCACGTATGTATTTTAACCTCTAATCACATGTGTACAAGTTGCGGCCTGGTGGCCTTGTCCCCCAGTGACTAGGCTCCTTGGCTTATGGTAAAATCGCCTTCATGTCCTTATAATGAAAACGACCAGTAAGATAAGTATTTGCCTCAGATGCTCTTCAAGCTCTCCTATTTTAATAAATTGAGGTCAAAAGAAACCAGAATACCTACAACCTTTTGGAGCACACATTCTAAAAGCTGGCTCCAGAAGAGGAGCTTCGTTTTTTCTGCTGTCTACATGTCACTGGTCAGTCACGCCCTGGTGTGAGACTTTCACATAAAAGGAATCCTGACATATAGGCTGACAGTGGCTTTACCTGGAACACTTCAGTGTAATGATGGGGGAAAGAAGAGGAAACATACTTCTAGAAAAATACAAACTACTTGGATTTAAGTCAGGCTATCTATCTCTCTGAATTTATTGAGTGCTTTTTGTAACAAAAAGCTCTGAAAGATTTAGTAGATTTAGGTCAAGGTTGTATTGAGTGACCAGAAGTCTAATTTTCCAACTATTGTCAGCTTCTCTGTGTGGAGAATCCCAGCAACCAGGCTTTTTCTTTTTTAAAATTTATTTTATTTATTTATGCATACAAGAACTAGGGTCTAGGCCAGAGGTGCAGGGGGCTGAGAGGACTCACCAGAGACAGAGTGGGGATCAGAACAGGTGGATTGACTGAAATCCAGTGCTGATGGTGTAGTGGGCGGGACAGGAGAGGTCTGGCTGTGCCATATGGGTCAGCTCCCTGGCTGGGGATCGAACTCGTGCTGCTGTGACTGGCAGCAGATTACTAGAAATAAGTCTTAAATCCTGTGCCACAAGGGAGGCCCACCAGCCAGACTTTTATCACTCCGTGTGTTCAACAAGTTTAGGTAGTCTGGTCTCCTGCTCCCATATTCTGTATGACTGTTGGCTTAAGGAAGACTACAATCAGTGTTCTGTTTCTTCTTTTTGCCATCTTCTGTCAGCCCACTTAGGGGCAGTACAAACTTGCCAGGCATCCCTTGGCTGCTAGCTTTCAGAGGCCCTTTTCTGTCCCTGAAGCAGCCAGATGTTCACAACTAGGAAGGTAGGGAACCATTTCACTTCCTGTATTGTCTGCAGGTTAGATTCAACCCATGAGCTCGGTGGGATCCCCCTTTCTTCACCATCACTGTTTGAAGTGTACTGTTATCAAGTGGACTGCATCGTGTCTCTGTAGGCTTCTCTTCTAAGAAATCTATAGGAAAAAAAAAACAGCAAAAACTCCCCCACAAAAGATATAAAACAATTACATACATGTCTTAAGCCAATGTCGATGATATTACAGTCATTTAACATGCATACAATTACAGGGCCTAACCTTGAGTTCTAAATTATTGAAGTTGAAGGCAAAGTATTCAGTGCACTGCTATTACTGTGGGCCGAGTATTCATAGCCGTCAGTTTAGAAAGTTATTTTTTCGCTTGAAGCATGGGCCTACACACCTGCTGTCATATTTCCCATCTGCCTCTCTCAGTTAATTCCCCCAAACCATGGCTATTTCCTTTAGTTGTAGAAACACATGTGAGACCCTTGGTAGTGTTTATTGATAACTAACCAAGCAAAATCCTAGTTTCCATTGGTTTATACTTATGTAAGCTCTCCAGTCATAATGCATGATATTCAAGTGGGTCATACTTTGGGTGACTAACTGTTAACTTTATGGTGAATTTTTATAAGTTACTCTCATTAGATTCTCACATTTACAAAAGAGGCTTATTTTAGTCATGCTTTGAGACACATTATTTCCTCAAAGGAAAGTCTAATAATAACGAACATAAACTGTGTACACTGAATGATTACCTAACAGAAAGATAGAGCCTGGATATATAACCCTTGGTTCTTTTTAAAGCTGCTTTAAGCTTTTGACTTTTTGAAAAGGGATTTAAAGCTATTAATTGCAGATTGATTCGAAATGGTAGTGGGCATGGTAGTGTCTGTTCTATTTTGTTTTCTTCACAGTAAGTACCCTGTTCACTTGTGATATCTGATAGGCATGCATGATCAATTAGTTGTCTCTTACACCTCTGCTGTGCTTTCAGATTAGGGCCAGAAGTTATGATTTATGTAAGAGGAAATTTCTCTGTTACGGAGTTTATAAAGTAAATGATACATCTTATTACTGGTACCACAAACCAGTTTGCAGACTTCATTTTGAAGGTTTCAGAGCTGCCTTGAGAACCAAGTATTAAAACCATGAGCATATATGGCAAAGAGGTTGAATGTGATGTGTATGCTCTTTTCTTCCTTCTATTAAAAATTCAGATGTCTGTTGCGTTAGATCACACAAAACTGGTAATTTTTTAAATGTGAGCATGAATATATATGTTTGTACACTTATAGGATATAAAAATTTTATTCATATGAAGTTACTCATTTCTAAGAAGAATCTGTGTTAGTTGGCTTATAGTTACATAATTATAGGGTATGTATCTTTAGAAAAATGCTTTTTCACTTAATATTATTTTCCAAATCTCCAGGGAAGGAATCATAAGTATTTGTATATTTAAAAAGTCCTACAAGTGACCCTGAGAACCACTGTGTTAGACGATGATCCTTAAATCCATGCCAAGGAGGCCGTTATTTAGAGCTCTTATTATGACCATGTTAAAAAAGAGGGGGAAAAAACTGCATTATCTCTTGCTTTTTATTGAATTCTGCATTTTACAATCTTTTGTCCATCTTGATGAGTAACCAGATCTTTTCTGCTTTTTTGATATGCTGCCTTTGTAATACAGCTTTGAAGACTTAAGTCGGTAAAGTTATTCTTTGCTCTTTCTGTTTTGTGTCATTTTAAATTGCTGAGTGTCAGTGATTCATTGAACTATGCCTGTAGTTTCAAATACACATTCTTTTGTGGCATTAACTATTTTGCTTCATGATAAATGTGCTGATTTGTTTTGCTTTAGATATTACAAGAAGATACAATGCATTCTCCGTGGATGAACAACACATTACATGTATTTTGTGCAATTAGTGGTACATCAAGTGACAGAGGTTACGGTTCCCCAAGATACGCTGCTGAAGTATAAGGATATGCAGAAGTATCGCTGCTGAAGTATGAGGATATGCAGAAGTATCGTGATGAGACTGACCTTTCTCAGGAATATTCGGAGCTGTGCAAATGTTACAATTTGAAGATTTGATACATGAAGTGTTTCTCCCTGACACCAAAATTTTCATGCTTTCAAACAGGGTGCTTACATATTTGTAAATATTTAAGCAACTTGAAAGTGCCTGGAAAATTGCGCCACTGTGCTTGGTTTGTACTTTTTTAGGTAAATCTATATACTGAGAAGTAGAGCTCAAAAACATTAGTTCCATTTGCTTAATTATTGCTTAAAATAACAATGGTACTATGTAAAATTGTATAATGGAACACAATAAAAGGTAAATCCTGTTTGTAATTAGAAGTGAAGAAATAATACCTTGGACTTAGCATTTTTCTTATGGGAAGTTCAATGCATTATCACAGTAACCTTTGCAGAAAAGATTGATGAAATTTCCATAAAACAAGGATATTTCAAATTGGGAAAAGATGTGAGGTCTTTCCTATGAGTAGTCAAGGTTGAGGTAAGGGAAGCAAAACCTGTATTTGAAAGGGAAATTTCACAAGAGAAAGATTATGTAGAAAAACACCACACATACTATCAATTCAAGTCTCGATAACGGTCAGTCTCTCACTGACACCCAAGACAAGGCATTTACGTGTGGTTTCCCTAGTAAACGGCATTTTTGCCAAAGTTTCATTGTAGTCAGGACATCTAACGCAACTTCAGAGCTTTAGCAGCAGCATCTGAGGTGGACATCTTCATTTTACAAGGTTCACAAGCAACTCGATACAAGTCAATGTTTATGGCCTTTCTTGGGCCAGTCTACATAGTCACTGCAGATTAGCAGGTGCTTGCAAGGGGTTACATTTCTACATATGAAGACGCCTCAGACTACTTAAGTAATCTAGGAAAAACAAGTTAGAAGAACTTATAAAATTGAATTAGTCATAGAATTTGACTGCTTGTGATAAAAATTTTGTATACACTTTCCTTTTGTAGGTTAGTCTCTTTTACTAACAGAGACACTGAAGTAGAAATGGATTGCAAGGAACTTTGGTGTTTTTTAATACTTTGTGATTAAGTAAATCTTAGAGCTTAGCCATTTTTCTTTATAAGTTATTTTTAAGCTTTCAGGAGAGCATGAAATTGCTTGTTGAAGGTAAATTTTTTATTTATTTTAATAGGGGATTCACAAATGTTTCAGAGGCAGTTTGTAGTTCCTTAATATCAGGGAGTAGCCTACAGAATTAGGTTCAGCTTTAAATTGATTATATTTGGTGTGTATGTACAAGGAACTGTCACCTAGAGTCGGTGCTGGCTTCTGAGACTGAAACATCTTGGATTAATACAGTGCTCTTTTGTCAACAACTACTGCCTATCATGTCCCCAGCACACTGTTGTGCACTGTGGATAATTTGAAAAAGTAGAATAAATGATTCCTGCTTTCAGGGAACGAGCTGCCTAATCTACTTGGGGAGGCAAGATATACAAAATTAGATAATGTAAGAGTTAACGGTATAAGGCAAGAGTAGTTGTCTGTGAGCATTGCTAAATGAATGACACTATCATTACTCATCACATTCAAAGAAGGAGAGGTCAATGTCATATTCAGGGATGGTTTCAAGAACAAAAGTAACTAACCTTCAAACAGGCTTTCAAACATGAGGGGATAATAACAGGAGATGCATCACGAACAAAGGTACAAAAGACTTAGAATTTCAAGGGAGAGTGAGGAGACCAGTTTTGTTCAAGAGACTGGTAAATGATAAATCTAGAAATAACATTTGGACCCAAGTTTTGGAAGGTCTTGAATGCCATGCTAATAATAGCATTAGGACTTTACTCAAACACGGGGAAAACAGTCAAGGTTGGTTTTTTTTTTTTTTTAAACAGAAAGACTACTTGATTAAATGTTATTTTTAGAAATGTAATCCTTATTTTTTGCTGCCCAGACATACTGGAGGTAAAGAGAGATGAACACCATTTAGATAGCTATTGCAGTAATCTTAAGTATGAATCCATAAATCCCTGGATATGAGCAAGAGTGGAGAAAAAAGTGAAAACTAAGACATTATGTGAAAAGACTGGACATGACTTACTGATGCTCTGAAGGACAAGGCAGAAGATGAAGATGATTTTGTGTCCTATGGCCGATGGTTTCTTCCGGTCATGACACAACTTAACTGGATTGAGTTTGCTGACTTCCAGATGATGGGTAGCAAACCATGAGAGATCAAGGTGCTCTAGACAAGGGAATGCCAGGTACATGCATTTAGAAACATTGCACATTTTGGTATTAAATAGTTTCATATGCGTTCATGAAGTGATACGGCATCTACAAATCCACACCAAAGAATACATTTCTACTGTACTGATTATTTTGTAGTGCAACTTGAACCCAATTTCTCTTGGAAGCTATTAGATAGTCTTGGAGCCACATAAAATGTGAATATGTCATCATCGGTAGTGTCGGTCTATAGAGATCTTCCTAGTAACCAGTTGTCACCAATGGCATCATGTCTGTAGGTGGAGTTAACTGTTACCGTATTTATCTGATTGGACTGCTGCTATAAATATTGGAAACTTCTTCCCAAAAATGAAATATAATGCAGCTGTAGCAGCAACAGCCTTGGTCTGCTGACCAACATATTAGAACTGGAGATGCCACACTGCTCAATGAATAAACTGAATAGGTCACTGTAACAACCCAAGCTTTTTATTGTAAAGGCTGGTTGTATCTGAGATGCAGAACCCAAGCAGCAATGGATTAGAATAGTAGGAATTTACGAACTCTACAAAATGTTAATCAAACATCTCTATCTTAGGTTTCTGACCCACAAAATGTCAAGCTACCTTCACGCTTAGTCTTGTTCAAACAGTATACTACTTCAGCTATCAAACGCAAAGGGAAAGGAAGGAAATAAAAGTTGGTTGGGGGTGAGGTACGGATTTGTATAACAAGGTTATTTCCCTATCTAGGAGCTGGCCAGTAAGAATACTCCGTTGATCAAGTTCCAGTTACAAGAAATGATCTCTTCTACTCCCTAACCACTTTATGGTTACTCTCTTAAAAGTATATCCAATTTCTGATAGAAGTTGTATCCACATTTTTCAAAGAGTTTACCTCTGTGTAAGGCTCTTAAATTTTTTTCCAACATGCTTTTTACTTGGTTTTCCTTTTCAATGAGCTATAATTCACATACCATATAACTCATCTATTTAAAATGCACAACTCAGTTATTTTCAATATATTCAGAGTTGTGCAAACCATCACCACAGTTGATTTTAGAACATTTTTATTAACCCCAAAAAGACAGCCCATACACACTGGCAATCATTCCTTATTCCCCACAAACAACCCCCCACCCAAGTCCTGACAATCACTAATCTGCTTTCTGTTTCCATGGATTAGCCTATTCTGGACATTTCCAGTAAATAAAATTATACAGTATGTGGCCTTTTTGTATCTTCTTTGGAGAAAGTCTATTGAGATTCTTTGCCCACTTTTTAAAATTCGCTTGTCTTAATGAGTGGCAAGCATTCTACATTCTAGTCGCAAGTCCCTTATAAGATAGGTAGTTTACATATAATTCTGTTGGTTGTCTTTTCACCTTTGTGATGTGCTGTGAAGCACAAAAGTTTTTAAATTTGATGCAGTACAATTTACCCGTGTTTTTCTCTTGTTTTTGTTTTGATGATGTATCTAATAAGACAGCCTATTCTAAGGTCATGGAGATCTACCTACAATTTCTTTGATTTTTATAGTTTTACCTCACTCTTAGGTCATGGATCCATTTTGGTATTTTTTTTTAATTATAGAGTAGAGCTTAAAATCATTCTTTAATGTGGATAGCCAGTTGTCCTTGCACTATTGGGGGGGGGGGGTTTAGGAAACTACTCTTTTCCTCCATTGAATTGTCTTGGCACTCATCAAAAATCAGTTGACCATAAATATATGAGTATTCTGGGCTTTTGGTTCTTTTCCATTGTTCCTTGTCTGCCATTATACCAGGACCACATAATTCTGATTACTGAGAGTGTATAGCAAGTGTTTCAGGTGGAAAGTACAAGTTCTCCAATCCATTCTTTTTAAAGATTGATTTGGACATTCTGGGTACCTTCCATCTCCATGTGAATTTTAGAATTAGCATGTCAGTTGCTGGAGAAAAAAAGGTAGCTGTGATTTTGGTAGAATTTGCTATGAACCTATAAATCAATTTAGGGAGTACTGCCATTTCAACAATATTAAGTGTTCCAGTCCACAAATACAGAATGTCTTCCATTTGCTTAGGTTGGCTTTAATTTCTTTCAACAATGTTTTATATAATTCCTGGTGTAAAGTCTTGCACTTGAGTTAAATTGAGTCCCTTGTATGTTTTTCTAACCTACTATAGATGGGTTTTTAACTTTTTTTAATTATTCACTGCTAGCATATAGAAATAGAACTGAGCTTTGTGTATTGACCTTGTATCCTGAAGCTGCTGAATTCATGTATTAGCTTTAATAGTTTTTTGTGAATTCTTAAGTGTTTCCTATTTAAGAGCATGTCATCTAAAAATAGAGATAGATTTATTTCTTCCCCTCAAATCTTTATTCTTTTTATTTCATTTTCTTACAGGCTAGCTAGAACTTTTAGTAGAATGTTCAATAGCTGTGGTGGAGCAGGCTTATCTTGCTAGTGATCTTTGGAGAAAGAATTCTGTCTTTCACCTTTCAATATGGTGTGAGCTGCAGGTTTCTCACAGATGCTTTTTATTAGATTGAGGACTTTCCCTCCAGCATAATTTTCATCTGTTTTCTAATTCAATTCTCACAGTAACCTTATAATCCCTCAGTGATATCTAGGGAAATGGATGACAAATAGTTAAGATATGTACTCAAGATGCATATCAAATTAGAAATGAGTCCAGGGAATCCTGACTCATGGACCAGAGTGTTTTCAACTACTCTGTACTATATTTCTATTGCAACTCCCTATATCTTTCTAGAGATGCCAGAGAGGTTGTCTTATACACTTTTTTTTTTCCTAAAAAGCTAAGCTCCATAGGGGTAGAAGTCTGATTTTTATTAAAAAAAAAAAAAGTAACTGATACAGGTTAAGTGCTTGAACAACCTTAAGAAGATAAAGGCATTGTAGGCTATAGTTCTGGAGACTTCATTATGTGCAAGGAAATGCGAACAGATATCTCCACCTCAGGGAGACTGTGGTTGATGGAAATAAAACTGTCACAGAGAAAGATAATATGAAGCTATCTGGTCATAGCAAATAAATGGTAATGACAAGAACTTGAATAGGCCAAACCTTTCTAGATGTACAGCAAAAAAGCGATCGTGGGAGGAGACAGGGCATGAGCGTAGCCTTGAAGGTGGATTGGAACTAGCATGTTTGTGTTGAAGTATTTTAAACAAAATGATCAAACAGGAAGTTAAATTAACTTCTTCATTTTAATTGTATGAACTCAGACCACTAAAACCCATCATTACTCCAAGGGACATACAATGCCAAAATAACAGAGTCAAACAAAATCACATTAACATTCATTAACCCATTTCTCTGAGATTCCCTTTACTCTGTAAACTCAAACTGAGTCAACCAACCTTTCTTCTTGTCCAGAAAACGTAGGCTCAATTTCCTTCATTCCCCTGTTAGCAAACATTTCGAGCCAACCTCAGCAGACTTCTGATCTGCTAGTCTCATTCTTTATGCCCTGTAGCATTTCGTAATAATCACTGCTTCAGTAGATTTGCTCAGGTTGAATCGTAAAGATTCTGGGCTCCTCATCCTGCATGTTGACTGCATGTTCCCACAATGGACATTATCATGAGTAGGTGAGGACTGCCATCAGAATTGCCAGCCTTTTATCACATGTATCAGCCCTGAGTTGTGAGCCAGGAATAAGAATGGAAGAGGCAGTGTTCAATGGGCAGTTACGCAGATGGATATTATAGTCAGATACCTAAAAGTGGTCTTTCCCTAACGAGTCAGATTCTGAGCTCTATGTACCTGTAGAGAAACACCTGACATCTCTGAAGTAAGCTAATGGTGCCTAATGCCAATACATTTGAACATTTAATATTGAGAAATAAAAGTAAAGTCAGTAGAGATGTGGCATGATGTTCTGTGAAGAACCAGTCAGGCCCTCTAGTCACACAGTTCTGAGGTCAAAATTCCCCCATGGCCTAGTCAGGATTTGAGATGCATCCGAAGCTGCTGTAACAGCATTTTAATAATACTGTGCCCTCACTCTGTCATTCCAGCCTCAATCCTCACACACAAACACAAAAGAGGATGAGGGACAAAAATAAAAGGGCTGAGTTGAGAAAAGTATTAGAACAAGTACTGTGAAAATGAAAGACTTCCAGGATAACTCACACTGTTCCACCATGACACCTCAAGTAGCTACAGGGTCAGCTGAATACAATTCAAGTCATGTAAAAGTATTATTTTCATGGAAATAAAAGTCTCCTCTTACAGAAACAAAATTCAAGTTTTAGCCCTTCCCAAGGAATCTTCAGAAGGGAAACTTCCAGGGCTATTCACACTGGATAAACAGCTAGTGATATATCTCCATGAACTACCACCACCACTGTGGTGGCTCCCAGGGGTGTTTATTAGAACTCTGTGCTTCCAGATGAAATATTTTAAGGGGCCAAAATAGTGATGGTTTCCATAACCAACCAGGGGCCTTTGGCTACTCTCTAGTGCTCCCTTTCATTTTGACAGGTTTCATATAATATATAGGGATGTTAAGTACACAGATTCTGAAGCCCAACTGGCTGGGTGGGAGAAAAACCAGCTCTGATATAAGACCTTGGGTGTGTTATTTAGCCCCTCTATGCCCTTGTTTCCTCATCTGTAAAATGGGCATATTAATTATACATATCTTTCAATGTTGCTGTGAAAATTCAACGAAGTGTGAAAATCTTAAAGAATAAAGCCTGGTACATGTACGTAATTACATGTATTAGCTATAACTCAATGTATCTTTTCCCAAGAGGATACCAGGATTTTGCCAGCCACCACACTTTCTATGTCTTTGGAACCAGGTAGAAGTGGGTAGGGGCAATGGGTGAGTCAAGATTAGGCCATTTTTCTGACATTTTATATTCCATAGATCACATCTCTGCTCTTACTATTGACAGACCACTGTGTGAGGCAGTCTGTGCCCCAAACAGGGATACTATTACCTGTTATGGGCACAACAAATACATGCAAATGCTGACTGTTCGCCAGCAGTGCCACCATACTGGTGCATCCTAGCTAAATATCAGCCCTGCCCTCTGCCTTCCTGAATGGAAACCAATGGTGTATCTTTACACTGGAACATTGATGAGATCCCTTATGCTCCCCAACCTGGAGCCTCTGCTTACTGGCACTTCCTCTGACTTCCTTCTACTATCAAATCTATACAGAAGTAGCTTTGGATTTGAGATTGAACTTGGAACTTGCTGCTTCAGTATTCCCTCTATGGAGAGTCTCTAGTACACAGCTTCCTTCAGTGAGTTTAAATAATACCTCCGAGGGCCCTCCCTGATGGTGCAAGGGGTTGTCTCAGCACTATGAAGCTATCCACAGCCACTGCAGCACAAATTCCATCCCCAACCAGGGAGCTGACCCACACGGTGCAATAGACCTCTACTGTCTCACCCATTGCTCCTCTCAGCAGTGTGTTTCAATGGGTCTGTCTATTCTGCCCCCAACTCTGTCTCTGGTGAATCCTCCAACCAACCCCCCCACCCCCACACACACACCTCTGCCCTACATCCCAGCTCTGGTTTCCATAAATAAATTTTTAATAATAACTAAATAAATAATGCCTCTTATTTGGAGTTCCACTATCAGTCCTCACAGATAACCATATTGCACGGCTCTGTTGAAATAGACCAGAAAGGTCTTCAGAGTCCCCTTCCTATCTCCTATCCATATCTCCATAGCTGTAGAAACTCTTGAGAGCAAACTTTGTGCAATGGATCTTGTTTAAAGCTATTTCATTGTCGCTTTAGGTGATGGGACTTGGAGCTGAGGCCTACTGCCTCTTCCTTACCTCTTCCCAATCCTCTTCATAGACCCTGCCTGCCTCCCACTCTGTCCTTTCATTTACAGGGACAGGGATGGAGCATTCCATTGCCCCATGCTGTGCGCTCTCCTCACACTAGGTTCCCAATGCCTGCTGTCTGGGTGAACCCACTTCCACCATATGGCCCATGAGTCAAGCTCAGCTCACTGAAGAGCATTTCAGCATCTCTGCAGCTGCCACAAGTCAGGGAAACCGACTTTAGTCAGGATCTGACAAGTCTCCACTAGGTACACATCTTGAGAAGGAACTGACTATAATGTCCCTCTTCCCACCTAAAGTCTGAAATTTTTCTCCAACGTGAGTGCCTCTCTGCCCTTAGCCTCCCTGCCTGCAGGGTATTTCCCACCAAAGAGGGTTCTTCAGATGACCA